CCCCCTGGTCATGTTGGTCCTTCTCCATGGTGATCACCTCCTGCAAGGGACAGAAAAGGTGCGACTGGCATCGCAGCACATGCAATCCAAAAGCAGACGGGGAAGCACAAAGACATTATGGCCTGGAGGCTTGGATTCAAAGACGTACTTGATGTATCCTTCTGCCAGGCAGCGCACACACACACAAGCACACACACACACACACACACACATCACATGCGCCCCATGTTCCATGCCCGCCGGTGCATTTCAGCGGCCTGCTCCGACAGTTTCTCGAGCTCCACTTTCATGCCCTCTTGATTTTGGACCATCGCCTGGCATGCTCTATGCCCGACTGATTGAAAGACCTTCTCACGTTGGCGACGAATATGGCAACTTCGAAGACATTCAGTCCTCCTGGTTGCTCATCACTTCCTGCGCCAGGATCATATCCATCAGAGTCTGATGCCAACGATCAGGTCGGTCCTTCTGCATGCTGATTACCTCCTGCAAAAGAGTACGGATTGTATCAAGGCGAAAGATGCAAAGATGCCGGCCTTGAGGCTTTCATTCGAAGACGCGCCAGGCGCATCCTGCAGGCATCCACAGAATACTCCGCAGCTACAAAGCTGCTGCCGAAGTCGCAAGCGGAGTCTCTTCAAGCCAAGATGGCCATACTATCTCATATCACACCTGGAAACTCGACAGTAGTGACACATCAGCCCAACTAGTATAACCCCGTGAACGGAAGCTGAGCACGTGGTGTCATGTCTGCAAGTTTGGATTCCCTCGCCAAAGGCCTCCGACAAGTGTTCAAGCTCTTGGTGCATGGCCTCTTGATTCGTCACCATCTCCTGCGACAGCGGAGTGAGTGAACAAACAACCTTTGCAGCTGCTGGTCGTCGCGGCTGGTCACGTGTCCTTCTGCTTGCGAACCACGTCCTTGCGACAGAAACGGAAACGCAGTCGCTCTAGCTCCCGAGGAACACCGCAGCAAGTCCTTCTCCAACTCATACACATCCTTCCAACATGTTCAAGTCACCAAGACACCGTGCGGACAGCACACGAACTTCTGCTGGCTGCAAAGCAGGCCTTGAGGGTGATCCCCAGCTTATCGACTTCAGGACATGGGGCTCGAAGCTCTGCCCTTTCTACCTCCAGGCTCTACGCACTTGGAGATGTCGAGCTTGTCTTGGCGGAGCCCCAGACGCCTCCATCTTTGCTTCCAGGTACTTCTTCTCCAGCTCTTCGACGCGCTTGCGTAAGTACACGATCTCCTCAAACCAGCATGAAATTGCCAGCAAGAGGTGCTGTCTGGGAAACTGCGCAAGGATCCAACCGACTCTGCACTCTTCGAAGAGGAAAGCGTGCCTCTGGCCGCACACCATGGTGGACTGATGTGGACTGCGGGACTCTTGGGTTCTACGAATCCGCAATCAACTAGGCCGGCCGCTCGAAGAAGCTGCTGCTTCAGAATGGTCATTCGATACTTCTAGCCCCTGCTGCAAGCACGCAGTCTCAGCGATTGAAGCATCTGGCAATATGGGCAAAGACGGGTAGTGATAGTGCTCGGACATGGCCTCCCCAGCTGTGTGTGAGCCCGGCGCGGTCTCCTAGTCACTTGTTTTGCCAGAACCCATCACTGTGCTCACAAGTCTAGCCTAGGGTGCAGTCCTCCGACACTCTAGGAGGCCGTGCCAGTTTGCGAATGCGTCTTTTTGGCTCAGCTTCTTCCTGTTGAACGAAAACAAGTCACGAGCCTGCCGACTTCTCTGTACGGGTTTAAGGTGCTCAATGCTGGCAAAGCCTCCTCGTCCTCCAGCTCATCGTAAAAGGCGTTGCCAGCAGTGCCGAGCTCCTTAGAGGCTTCCGTGAACGACTGCCGCCAGCCACTGGCTGAGCACCGGCCTTGCTGGAGCCAACCATCCCGGCAGAATCCTGGACAGAGGACGCGGACCAACTGCTGATTGCGTTCGTCATCCTACCCACCAAAAGACTCATCATGACTGCTGTCTGCGCGGCCTCGGACGCAGCCGTAATGTTGGGATTCTCCTTGCACTGAAGAGCTTTGAGACTCTAATTCCGGATCTGCATTCCTACACGACTGCTGTGTCGTCGCTTCAAACAGTAACCAGGAGAAGCGAGATGAATTATGCGGCTGAGCATGGCAGACCCAATGTCCCGCCTCCTTGCCAAGCAGGACCTTAAAGTTGATGTCCCTGACTTTCACACCGGTGTTTGAAGCCACCTCCGAAGCACTCTAGAGATCATGTCACGGTCAACGAACACTTGCTTCCAAAAGGCCTCTTCGGCGATGTTGCAGCCATCTTTGGAGATAGTCTGGACAATCTTTTCCAGGATGTCGTATTGTGAAACCTGTGTTTCACGGGAACGCATTGGGCCCTGTGATGCCCTCACTAAACTCCGGAGCTACCTGCTGCCTGACCTATCAAGCAAGATGACATCTGGGGCTTGGAATGTACATCCAGGCTGTGATGCGGGGTTGCCATCATGCGCTCGATGGCAGTGACAACGACCAACAAACTATGAAGTGGGTTTTCGAACAATTCCTTCTTCCTAAACCAACACACCTGAGTTGAGACCGCAAGTCCAGTGCCTGGAAGAAAAGCTGTGGGCTTGTTGCAATGCCCTTGAGATCACGGATGTCCGCATCTGCACCAACGGCCACACCTGACACCGATGTCAGCATAAGCTGTTTTAGGTTCCGGCGGTTCCAAATCCTGGAATCAGGCAAGCCACTGAAGATGATGATCGAGTCGTCATGCTCCATACTTCGCGCTTTTTCTGGAGCTTCGAAGTCAACGTCGCCATCTGAAACAATGACGAGAAAGCGGCTGGCCTGGCAAGAGAATCACCCTTGCCCTTGCCTCACAAGCTCTGCAGCGACGTAAGCAACCTCACACGCAGAGGCAAGCCAACAGGGCTATTGGCACTCTGCCGTCCCAGTTCCAGTCGTCGCTCCGAGAAGGATCTAGGCAACTACCCCTTGACTCCGTAACATTATTCGCCTCGGCCCCGGCCGAAGCGGTCAGAGGTTCCTATTCGGCTTCCCTCTATTCCCCACCTCTTAATCCCCTCCCCAGTGACCCCACCCCCCCTAAAAATGGAAACCTGTGGATGAGCCCCAAGGTCTGGCGGTGAATTCTCACGCATCTGCGCAAAAAGCATGTTCCGCGTCCCAAACAAGCAGCGGTCGTTCCGGTGCCAGCGCTAGCTCCATCCGCTGCTGCTGCGACCGATCGCTCTGGCGGGCCCGACCGAGCATGGCATCGATGCTGCCGTTGAGGAACATGCAGCGAAGAATGAGGGTTTAGGCTTGAGAGATGAGGCTTTGAGGTTTAGGGTCTAAGGAGCAAGTCGTTACGGGATGAAGGTGCTCAGCCTTCATACGTCAACCAATCCTAAGAGCCGGGAAAACAAAGGAAAAAAGGATACCACTTAAACCTAAGTTTTAGGATTTGACCTTCAAGGACGCCTTCACAGTGCGGTTGCTTCCGTCACGGCCGGGCCGAGGCGGACGACGCGAAACGTTTAAAATTATTTGGATCGTCATCTTGCAACACGCCTGGCGGTGTTGCTCCAAGAACAACTCTCTGGACTTTACAAGTCCGTCCTGGGAGAGATTGCCAGGACTCAGATCACATGAACATTCCCGGAAAAAAAAGCGCCGAGCCACGGAGAGATTCGTGCTGCCGCCTGTCTGGTTGAGTTTTACCAGTCCTTGCGCCACCTCCGTCGGGGTGCTCTTGAAGTTCATCTCCTCAGCCATCTTTGGCTCTTGGAAGGGAGCGGGCTCTAGGCTCTGCATCCACCAAGAATCGATACTGGCAAAGTGCGTGTATTGCACGAAGCCCACTTGCATCTCGTCAGCTCCAATGTTGAACCGAGCGACCTGGGCTGCCGACGGACGCAACCGGACGCTACCGGACGCGTCGTGCTCGTTTCATGTCCGCTGAATGCTGCTTCTTTCTGGCTTTCTTAAAGACTTTGGCAATACACGTAGCACTGGGTCCACGAGTGCAGGTCACGAAGAGGATGGCCATTCCGGCTCTACAACCAGGAGCTGCAAAATGCAGTTTCAGCAAGCCACGGTGTGCGAGACGAACTCCTTCAGGTCTTTCCATTCTGCATCGCTCACCTGTGGCACGGGCCACATAGAAGAAGCGTGAAGTCTGCTGCGCATTGCTGTGCCATGCTCGCAAGCCATTTTGTCCGAGTTGCGCTGTAGCTACCGTCTAGCAAGAAGACCAGGTCTACGGCTGCACTGCAGTCCTGCCGACTGCACCACAAGCGGCCTTTCAAACAAAGGCGTGTGTCCTTTGCAGTGTGTACACAAGAGGATCCTTCGTGGTTTCCCGGAGCCAGGTCGCCAATTGTGGCTCGTCAGAAACTCGAAATGAGATGGTCTCAGTGAGCAGAAACATGCCTTGACCCTCTGACAACTCTGATGGACACTTAATCAAGTGGCTGGTCGCATTCCTGCATTCAGCCATGCCTGAGTTCAATGCCCGTGCTTGCTACGCAAACTATCGGCACAATGTGACCCAGCCGAGCAAGTTGCCCATTCAGCCAGGCCAAGCAGAAGCATAAGCATCATCCTCGCCATCGCAACGCCCGCCTGGCAGTTCGGTTGCTTTCGTAGGGTCCTCAGGGCCTTCCAAGCATATCAGGCAACCTCAAGCCCTAGAGTATATGGCGTGAGTGACCAGGAGTCCAACCCAGACGGCTGAAACATGAAAGATCCTGCTCGACAAAAAATCTGACATCAGCCAAGGAGCACGGACTTGTGAACTCTCTCGCTGGATTCAGCAAAACAACTTACACAATTGAGGTGCTCGGCAGGCACTTGAGCCGGGAGCACTCGATCGTAGCATGCACAACGCCTCTGGGGCAAGCCAGTGCAGTACTGAGGCAGGTCTCGACTGCTGCACACCCATAGCGCAAATGCAGCGAAAGGCTGAGGCATCACATCAGTACCTGCGAGTATCTGAGCCTCGAACATGCCAGACGAGGCTTCCTTACTCGTAACTGGCGGTCGTGCAGGGAGTGTTGTGTAAAACTATGACGACGGTTTGCCATTTACTGTATCGTTTGCAGGTTAGTTTATTGGCTACCATTACCATGTTGCTAACTGCCGCTGAACTAATACGACTTACATTCGTGTTACTACTGCTTTCCGTTGCTATTCTGCTATTCCTAGTACCAGTACACTGTTTGCTATGAGTATGCTATGACGATGACTACGACTGGACGGTGATGGCGGGAGGGCAACCCCCGACCTTGGAATGACAGGGTCCTGGTTCCGGGGAACTACCTCAACCGGTGACAAGAAGACTCTGTTCTTACTGATAGACCCCGAAGCCCGGCTGCCCAGTTATCCGCTTTCATGTAGAGCGACTGTAGACTGTGTATCCGAGTCCATTCCGGCGCCGTAGCCGTAGTCCTCAAAGCGGACAGGGCATAGTATAGCACTGCACTGCGCGCCGTCGGCGTGTGCGCAAAGGATGCAGACCGTTCGAGGAGCTGAGGAGCTTGCGCCGTCCTCCAATCGAGCACCTGTCGGGTCCGGCTCACTCGACGAGCGAGAGCCCGCGAGCGCTTCCCCCCCCTCTGTCTGCCTCGCGTGAGGTTTCCCAGAAGATGGCCGAAGCCTCGGCCAAGTGCTGCCACTGCCAACAAAGTGTCCATACAAGGTTTGTGTTCGAGGTGCAGGCTCTTCAGTTTCGCAGACAACTCCCGGACTTCCATGTCGTCTGCAATGGCCGAACCCTGCTTGAAGCTGGATCTTCTCGAAATTGTGCTCTCTAAGGACTTATAGGCCTCCCTAAGAATGAAGCGGTGCAAGCCTCCACCTGTGGGGCCAGTTGAGAGACATACTCCGCATGAAGCTTCCGCCTCAGGAGCTGACACGGGCAAGAACGAGGAACGAGGAGATAGGATGCGTCTGTGTCTCGTGCAGTCGGTGGCACTTCCGGAAATCCAAGTCCTGACCGGAACCGAAACGGGGAGAAAAGCAGCAGACGCGGCCAGGGCCCCCGGGGCGCCTCGAGGAAGGTGGCGAGGCGCTTGAGGCGAAAGCGCCGTTGCTCCGCCGAGGCCTCGCGCTCCAGTGCCGCCGAGAGCAGCACCTCCGGTGCAGGAGGAGCGGGAGCGCCCGGGAGGGCAGGGGGAGGTCGCTCCGCCTCCAAGCGAGCGATCCGCTGCCGGTCGCTGAGGCTCGACTGCTCCTCGGAGGAAGCAACTTCCACAGGAACACACTGGATCTGAGGGGAAAAGAAATCTGAGATCACCTCCTCCAGGTCGTTCGTCACCGCAGCGAAGCCCACGTCTTCGGCTTCGGGCTCCTCCTCGCCAGGCCGCCAGGCCGCCAAGCTCGAGCTCTCTGCTTTGCCACAGACCGCCGCACCTCGACACCCTCAGAGATGCTCCCAGGCGACAGCCTCGGCGCATCTCAACCCAAAACTAGAACTCCCGTCGGTTTCTCTCCGTTCGGCTCCGGGCTGTGACTGAAGAGGCGTTCTGTCAAAGCTCCGGCCTCGATCTTGGCTTCGCATCTCGTGCCACTCATCCCATCTCGCGCCCTCGTCGGAGCCGCGCCACTCAGCTGAGCCAACTTGTTCCGCAGCATCTGCACCTGCGGTCAGCTGCCCTTGCACAAGTCCCGCCCTCCCGGCTCAGTATGCACGAGGCAGCCTCTTCCATCAGGCTTTCCACCGTGCCGCTAAACGCCTCCAGCTATCTCAAGCTGAGTGGATTGCTTCGACAGCTACATCTGGCTGAAACGGAGGTGAGCGCCTCGTTTCGGACCACCGTGCAGCGAATGTGCTTTGCACGTGCCGCAAATTTCAGCCTGGCCAAACAAAGCAGACCTGCCATTTTGGCATCACAGGACCAGGCCAAGGCACGTAGACAAGGTCTCGGAGAGGCACAGCTGAGAAGGCGAGACGTTGGCGACGAGAACCTTTCGCTTCAACCGTCACCTGCTCCACTCCACCCCAAGTGGCGTGCCGTCTTCGAGTTTCCGCCCAAAGAATCGCGCAGAAGAAACGTCCTGACATCCCAGCATTTGAGTCGCTAATTAATGTCTGCAAGCAGAGAAGTTGGTCGGAAGGGCAGCTTGCTGTCTCTGTAGTGGACATAGTTGCTTCCTCAAGAGTAGCTTCTGGAAGCCATTCTCTAGCTGACGAACAGACTCGGCCCTGCACGCCGGCCGTCCCCACTTCGTTTACGCGACCTGCAGCACGAAATGTTTAAGGAAGCCCTCGACAGAAACTGCTTGCACCGCACTGCATGCCGTGGGCTACTCGGCTAGGCGAATCTCGGAGCTTCCCAAATAATAAGCAAAACCGTGCATTGCAGTGGCGGGGGCAGCCTCTCTTCCCTGGACAATGACATGATCACGTTTGTCAGCGCACTCAGACCTGACTGCTTGACTGCCCCGAGTTTTTGCGCAACTAGCCATCCGTGGCAAGCATTATCCGCACGCACATCCCACTACAAACAGGTAGGTGTAGGACTCTTGTTGATGGCACCGGCTTCTCTGACCCGCAAAGCTTCCTAAGTTTTGTGCACAAGCATGTCAACCACCAGCCGCAAACTGTGCAGAGACAAAATTCTGGTATCACTTGTTGGCGAGCGCGAGGCGTACGGCTGGACCATGCTCGTCCCAGGATCACCCAGATGCTGCACACAGGGTGCGGGCAGAATTTGCAGCATGCATCTCCCAAAGCTGGAGCTACCCATTACCGCCTTAGCCAGAAAAATATCAGTCACTGGCTAAGTCTTCTGTCACAGGGAGGGCCAGAATCAACCCTCAATCCACCAAGGTCTAAACTCCAGGTACTGAAGGTACCGGGACGATGTGCCGCCGGCTGTCAGATAGACAGACAGGGAGAGATATGATAGCCGGTAGATGCAAACACGGGCCTGCTGACGTTCCGAACCTGCCAAGTCCACCATGCTTAAGCTTGCCACCTTAAGAAGGGCGATGGTCCGTTCTGCGAGGACCCGAGCAGATGCCTCTGAGCGATCGGCACGCGTGGAGGTGACCCCCGCCCGCGTGCGTGCTGCCTGCCGGCGACTTCGAGCTGTCATGGCCGTCGCTGCCTTTGTAGTTCTTGCTTCATACAGTAGTGGCCTCTGAAAGATTTTTGGGAACTGTGTCATTGAGACATGTGTCACATGTCACCACTAAACATCAGGGCTCGGCCCCAGACTATGCCGAGTGTCGAAGCGACACTGCCTAGAGGTGAAACGCGCAGGCTGCCTTTTGAAGGACCATCTGCAAGTCGGGAGTTTGCCTCCGAAAATTCTGGCTCGTGTCATTCCAAGCGAAGGCACTTCGAGCTTCCGAAAAAGCCCTTCAAATTCTTGGAATGAGTCCGGTCATCTGTGTACAGGCTGCAGACGCGGGACGCTGCTTTCCGTGCCACACCTGCCATGTTGTCTTCTCTGCACGGACTTGTGGATCGAAATTTCAGGTCGTCCCAGCCTGCTGAGGTTAATGAGTTCCGCACAGAGTCGTCGTGATGTGCTTCAAAGTCTTAGAGAAGAACACTCTACCGACAAGCACACTTGGCAGATCCAGCGGACACCGCGCGCAGGACTCAGGATGCGGCGGACGGATCAGCTGCATTGTTCAAGTTGAGATCAAAGTCACTGTCCAGCTTAATCTGGGCATGGACGTTGTTTCAGGCTTGGCTGGAGCGTGAGTCCAGCCCCGACTAACTTGACCACACCGTGTCCTTTCTGAGCCCCATGCCATCAGTGGCAGCCAAGTGCGCAAGAGGCCCAATTGAGTGTTAAGTTCGTCAATGGAGGGTTGATCCACCATCTTCAGTGTCTTCCTCGGAGACAACTCGTAGCTTGCTTCGCTGCACACATTCCGCATGTTGAGTTTGAGTACATGTCGGCCTGTAGCACGAAAATACCTGAGCTGTCTCCATCCTGACTTGCTTCGAGATGCGTGCGTACCTTGTAGACGTGATCGTCAACCTAGGAGTGGTTGCAGCATGCTCGAACTAGTTTCATAGGCAGCTCATGCTCTCCGGTGGAAGAGTCCCTATCGCAGGCTCTCCTTTCGATTGGCTGTGCTGCCTATGCAGTCCAGCAGTCGAGCCAAAGAGTCTGCACTGAAAGATACTACACACCCTCTCCGTTCCGATAGTTTCAAAAAGGTGGAATCTGCGGAACACCTACAACCATCATGCACAAGTTCGATGTTCGATGTTGGGTGCCGCCACATCCCCTGCGGCTCCAAATCCCGCGAGTTGTTGAGTGTTCTGCTTCGCCCTGAACAAGCCTCACATTTGTGCCATGTCCAAAACTTCCAGAAGTGTTTCCCATGATCCCCTGCTTTGCATTTCATGGCTGGGGCGACCTGCAATTCAAATGAATCACAGCTGGGCTGCCACCGCACAATTGTCGCTGTTGTCGGCACGTTGGATGCCGGTCTGAGCCATGTAGTCCTGATGTGGAGCCAGAAGTGAAAGCGATGGAGAACATGTGAAAATGCTTCTTCGCAACCACAAGAAGTGCTCAGCCGTGCTGGCCTTCGTGGCCAGCATCGTGCCCAGGCGTTCGAAATCAGAATCACCTCAACACCAACAAGGGCCCCTTCGACCGGAAGCCGCCGCAGCCAAGGCGCCGATGGAGATGACATTCTTCCAGCTCTGACCATCGTACTGCGAGTAGAACTCCCGACACTCCCTGCCGGGCCCAGAAAAGTGCTCAGAGCACAAGGAAGCGCAAGGCGATGCAAGGCGCAAGGCCTGGCAATGGCCCGTGCTTTCATGCCACTCCAGAACCTTTCGAGTTCCGCATTGGAGGACATATGAACCTAGGGCAGGTGTGATCTGGACAAGGCGGATCAAGGTCGCAGAGTCGCAAAGCCTTGTTATAATCCACACCAGCACCGTCTTGGGCATAGATCACGGGCACCTGAGCATCAGAATCCGGCTCGCAACTCACATGCCCACAACATCCCGCCATGTCTATGCGCATCTCAGCACAGGAACGTTGAGCTCTGTTATGGCCTGCCCCACTGTGGGGAAAAAGTTCCTTTCAAGCAGCAACTACTTGCTCAAGTGCGTTGTGCATAGCGATAATCAAAACCAAAACCTCCGTCATTCAAACGCAGGCCTGCAGGAGTCAAGCACCCACGGCTTCCGCGCAAGAGTCACAAGGATCACCTATGGGGCAAAGCTGATTGCCCAACGGCACAAGCAACTTTGAAGGAAAGAAGTTATCGGAGGTCCGAGGTCAGCATGGAAGCGGCCCGAATCTGTAAAGGACAGGGATGTCTCTCCACTGACACCTCGAGATTTGGTGGAGGAAATCCAAATGCCACGATCTTGGCCGCGTAAGGCAACCGGGAGCAGAGTGCTCAGCCGAGCAGACAACTCGTCCGCCATTCAGTTGCGTGAGTCCATCGTGAACCGAGCATGAGTGAGTGAGATTTGCCACGAGTGGCTGGCCTTGCCAGCGTCGGTCGTCTGCTTCAGCAGATCCACCACCTGGATTTTCCCAGCCAGGTATATGAGCCAACTCATATGCCGGCACCAGGGAGGTGTGCTTTATTCTGATTTCGTGCGAATTCGGAGATGTACTTCACTGCTTGTTTTCCTGCGCATATCGGATTTCAAGACGCGAGAGAGAGAGAGAGAGAGAGAGAGAGAGAGAGAGAGAGAGAGATAGAGATAGAGACAGAGACAGAGACAGAGACAGAGACAGAGATAGAGATAGAGATAGAGATAGAGATAGAGATAGAGACAGAGACAGAGATAGAGATAGAGATAGAGAGTGCGGGCAAACAAGCCGGTGTCTTCAAATGTGCGCAGAGATGACGAAACAAACGTGAGATTCTCTGCCACCTTGGTTTGGCAGATCGCCAATTTGGAAGCCACCTCATCTTTCAGCTTCCTCAGAAAGAGCAGGCAAGGGCAACCCCCTTCTTGCTGCATGAACAATGCACCACAATGGTCTGGACACAGGCGAGGTTCGCAGGAAGATTTTGGTCTTTCCAGGCTTTCATCCAGGACAGACGTAGCTCGTCTCTCAAGTAAGAGGTGGGAAAGAGCCTTGGACTTGGAAGCTCTTGCCTTCGGCCGCCTTGAACAGGCTGCAGCACTTTGCAGCCCAGCAGCGAGTCGTCCCAGTCCAGTACAATCATCGTCTGGAACTTCGTCGCAAAGAACTCCTGCACTGTCTGCAGTGCTACATGGAGTCTCTCGAATCTTGGTGTACGGAGAAAGTGGCAGAAGTCCCGAAGCCGCTCAGACACCAAGGCTCGGGGCTCCCGGGCTCCCCCGCCCTCCTTTCTCTTTTGGTCCTGTGAGTTCCGCCGGCCCAGGCTCGGGGTGACGCCCAGCGCGGGCTTGAAGACGGCCAGGTCGCTCCCCTCCGACCGAAACGACAGCGACGACACGACGGAGGGGGCTTTCTAATGGGGATCCGTCTGACAGCGACAGACTTCCAGGCCTTGCCATAGCCTCGGAGCTTTTGAAAAGGAGTTGCTCTTTGAGAGCGGAGCACAAAGTAACGTAGCACCGCATTTCGAAGGCTGCTGAGGCACGTGTGCCGTAGCGGTAGTGCGAGTGCGCCTGGCACGTCCGCTCCCAAAGCACCTGTTCAACGGTGAAAAATCCACTTGCAATGCTTTAGCAGCTGCAGTTCCCACCCTTGGGACCAGCCTGTGCGGTCAATCGCTTGGTGTCGAAGGACAGGACTATGCCCACAAATCCTGGACCGCCGTCCTCATCACCTGAGATGCCGAAACACGTTCCTGTCTCCTCTTTTCGCCTACACCAAACTGGTGCCAGTCCTGGGCTGTGGGAGACCTGACATCTCTCGCAAGGCTTTACTGGTGCGCTCGTGTGTTGATCCACCTGCATGTACAGGTTGGTTGAGCCTGTGATTGGAGACCTGTTGACATCTCTCCGTGCCGTTACTGGCTGGGCAGTATGTTCAGCTTGAGCTGTTCCATATTCCTTTTTCATGAACTAAGTTGCGCCATGCTGAAAGGTTCGAAGTGGCCGCCATAGTAGCAAGTCTGTTCGGTGCGTAGAGGGCGGTCGGAGTGGGGTAGTGGGGTCAAAGGGTCAGCGGGTGGGTTCTGCCCGTGGTCCTGGAGTCCTGGAGATGTTTTAGCTACTGCTGCTTGAAGATATCTTTCCTTGGCCCGTGTCGGTGGGCAATCTTCTTCGGTCGTACTCCCGTTCTTCTTGCTATGCGGCGGAGGTGTGGGTGTCGGCATGAGTGCGATCGTGCAGAGCAATTTGTGACAGCACCATCGCTTCCCACGATGATAGTCACTAGCATGGTCAGCTCAAAGCTGAATGTCGCTCCAGCCTTATTCTTCCGATGGTCTGGAGCCTCCGCAAGCTACCAGGAGGGAGCTTGCTACACTAATGAAGCAAATGCTGCCGGGACTCCGTGTTGCCACTCCTGCAGCGGCAATGGAAACACATGCACCCTTGGCTCAGGTCTCGCTCACTGTAACTTTCCCGAGCGGTATGCCATAGCCAGCCTTGCCACGAACAACTCGAAGGGAAAGCATAATGTTCTCCTGTTGCGAGATGCAGTCCCACAACAACATAGACCATGTTTAATAGAATGTGAAAGATCCCCCATGCCCTGTGATGAAGGGCCTCTGTCACGAGCTCCTCCCCGGGCTCAGCTGCTGGTGGCTGATCTCCGGTGCTGAGGCTCTCCTCTTCGTGAGACTCCGAAGACAGCTACGACGATTGTGCTCCACACATGCTTTCTGCGTACGGTGATGCAGCGCCCGAGCACCTCTGCCGCTCGGACGGCCCCGCGCTGGCCCGTGGCGACCATCGACCTCGGACATAGACCGAACTTGAGAGCAGTGCTACAGTATCAAGACTCAAGACCTCTAAGGCTTCCACGGGCTCTTCTGCAAGATCTTCTTCCGGTAAGGCATCAAGTCGGCATCGCCGTAGATGCCCCAGGCCTTCCAAGAACCACTAGCTGCCCAAGCCCCCGTAGCCTCTGCGTCTCCTGGCCTGGCCTCTGTGACCTGATTGGAAACTTGGTTCAACCATGAGGTCTCGGCGCTCGGATTCCTGCCCGAAAACGAAGGGCTTAGGAGGTCACACGGGCTTGCTTGACTTGTTGAGCCGTGTGCCGACTAAGGACTGGACTCACCCAGCAGCGGTTGAGAAGGCCCAGCTGGATCCTTTAAGCGCGCACAGAGCTCGAACTACTCGATCTAGCCTTGTTAGGGCTTAAGGAAGACATCGTGGCCAAACTATCTCAGCAATTTCTACCAAGCTGTGCTTGCTGTAAAGACCTCCTTCTCCGTTCTGCACACACACACACACGCACACAGAGACCATAATCCTGTACAAAGATGTGAGCTGTGCGCATCCCTTTACATCACGGTCTTGCCAGACAGAGTCTGACTCTAACCTTCGCTGCTCTTTGGCAGCACCATAAACATCTACAAATCTGAGGCTGTCAAGTTGTAAGCCTCCAAAACTTACACGAAAGAGTTTGCGAGATGATCTGCTGCTTTCAGAGCCATGGCAGACAGAGTCATGAAGGGATGGCCCCAGACTTGCCCTGGCAATAGGGAGGCGTCTGCAACGGCCAGATTCGTGGTGCCCTTGAGCCTCAGGGTGCCCGGGTCCACGCATCGTCCCAAGGCGCAACTGCCCCCAAAATGGTTCAAGGCTTCTGGTGGAGACTGGCCGTCAAAGCGTCGAGCGCCCTGCGCTCCAAGCCACTTGTCAACATGTTCAAGCGCAAAGGCCATGGTCTGCTTGTCTCTGTGACAACCCAAGTAGAGCTGCCCGCGCAGCTGCAGCTGACTGCCGGTCAGATGGGCGGTGGCCCGAGAACAAGTCGGGCGCATCAGCGCTAAACTTACATGAACTTCGCCTGGCGGACTGATGGGGTTGACCCATATCTCGATGTCGTACGCATCTGCAGGACCTGGGGTTGATGGATCACGCAAAAACGCCGTCAGAACTGGGCCATACTGTGCCAAGGGCCCGGATCTTGTTTCCGCATACTGCCACACTGCACTGGGGCTGGGTGGCTTTAGGCCAAAGCTCTCGTTGGCTCCGAGAGCTGAGCGATGCCGCACGCGGTACTTCAGAGAGACCAAGGTATGGTCCGAAAGCTCTCCGAGTCCGGGGCTCTGCTCTCCGAGTCTGCTGGAAAGCAAGAGCCGTGGGGTGTTCAAGGCTCCCGCAGACAGAACCACCAGACCGTTCTTGCGAAGGCGAAGGACCTTGCTTGAACGGCCCCCGTCGGATGTCACTCGAACTCCGCTGACGACACCCGCTTCATGCAAGACCTCCATAACCTGCGTTTGAAGATGCAGCTCAAAATTCTCTCGTCCTAGAGCCTCGGGCAAGAGCTGCGAGGCAGTTGACTGGCGCAGCCCATCCTTCGCTGTGACGGCCGGGATGCAGAGTGAGCCAGCCCTCTTGGTCAGATCGCTTGATTGCACGAAACCTGCTTTTTCCAGGGCCGTGCGAGCAAAACCAGCACCTGTGTTGTCCAGATAGTGCCGACCATCTCGGCTTGGCGTCTCTGTGATGTGGAACAATGCTTCAGCTTCTTTGTAGTAGGGCTCCAGATCCGGCATTCTCCAGCCAGAAGGCCAAGTCTCCATATTCGCCTCAGGACACCCGAAATTCGTTCTGTAGTACGGGTGCGACCCTCCTCGGCAAGGAGAAATAACTTTGCAAGTTACAGCCTGAGAAAGCCTTCATCCTTGCTAGTGCAATCTTAGCGTGGTTTCAGTGAGCCACCACGCGGTGGTATGACGGACACGTGCCTATGCGGCCATGATGCAGCATTTGGCCTCTGAACCAGGGCACCGTTCATCACACCACAGCCACCAAGCACCTTACACTGGAAATACGGCACGTCCGTCAACCAGGACTCCGGGCAACGTCTGTCCCAGCACTGCAGGGCCTCATAGTTGCCGGGCAAATCGTACCGAGTGACCTGTAAGCCTCCATTTTCCCCCCAGCTTATCCAGCGACGCTGAGCGGGATCCCAAGATGCTGGAGGCTCCGTGCCGCCCAAACTGGCATGTGACGCTCGTCCTGCCTCCAGCAATGCCACTCGAAAACCTGAGAGTTTGGCTGCCAGCCGAGCTGCAACGGCCGAGCCCATGAGACCGCCGCCGACGACGATTATGTCAAACTCTTCTTCTGCTGGACGCTCAGGTTGAACCGTAGGCAACAGCGAAGCTGAGCCCTCAAACAGGAACTGCTGGTCGCTGTTGCTTGCTCCACAAGACCAGATCTGAAAGACGTTGCCATTCCAATTACCACGGTCTTGGACATCTACGCACATGTCTGGATGGTTTGACCACTGGATTTGACCCTCGCCGGATGCTGGAACAGAGAAAGACTGATCAGAGTTGGACCCGATGCATTCCCATAGTTGCAATCGGTTGCCGTTTGCATTCCTATGGTCTCTGACATCCACACAATATCTTGTATTTGTCGCCCATCGCAGCTTTCCATCCTGGCTGCTCCATAAGAACTGCTGGTTCGACGATGCCGTATTACAGTCCCAGAGCTGCAAAGTGTTACCGTTCTTGGCTTCGCCAAAGCGGACATCAAGACATTTCGATGGGTGGTTCTTCCATCTCAGCACACCAGATTTCTGCAGAAGACGCTGGCCTCGAAGCTGACGAACGGAAATAGAGCAGTTTTTTCCCTGGGGTGATGCACACTCATCGTCTCTCGACAGAGCTGCCAAAGACTCGTTCGCCCAGCTGGGTAAAGGGCATAGCAAAAGCGACAGGGTGCACAGGACTGATAACATGGCTTGCCAGCTCGAAGCTCTACGCCGTACACGCGAACTGAAACTTTGCAGTCAGGCAACGGCGTCGACAATGACAGCGGGGCCAAGGCTTTCGAACAGGGACACGAAGCACTCTGCACGTAATCTTAAATCCTCCCTTCTGCTGTCGCCTTTGCGGAGCAATGACGGGCCTTGCTCTCCGCGGAGAAGCGCCTTTCCGAGCCTCGCTGGTCGTCGCCTCGGATGCGAACCCACCGTCGAGGAGCGGAACATGAATGCATGAAATTATCGTGTTGTGTTGGGAATAGGCGCTGGGCCTGATCGCTTGCCACCTCGTCCTGCCAGCACTTGCTTCTGGATCTTGGTACTTGTTTCACCGTGTGCTCTCGACGCATTACTATAGCATATGGTACCCTAACACCAGACAAGTCCAGCACTTCGACCTTTGCATCTTGGTCCTGTCAGCCGTCCCGAGAGTGGTGCGCGGTGGCTGCGGCGTCCCTTGTCTGAGAGGACATGTCGCGACTTCAACAAAGAGTAGCTGCGTAGCTCTTGCTGCAGAGGGGTAGCATCCTGGAGGATGCCACAGCAACTCTGAAGGAACATCGCCTCAGCGGGCTGCGCTGCGACTCTGCAGAAACTTCTGCCCGAATGAAACTTCGAAGGCGAGATTCTGTCTCCTTGCCATGGACAGAGACGGCGGGCCAACGGGTGGCAGACTTTTCCAGTCCGACTACGCGTTCAACAGCTGGACACTGCAGCAGCTTCCATGTCAACCAAGGATGCGAATGACGGCATAAATGGAATTCGTGTCCTAACATCCACTGGACTGATATTGCGGATCATGAAGCACAAGCTCTGAAGCCCTACGGCTGCGGTACTAGCAAGTGAGCAGCATCAAAAAATGCGGCATAAAGCAGAAGACATGCCATGGCCCAAAGCAGACAACATGACCTGCCTCGACATACAGCGTGAACACCTGAAGTCTCTGCCCTCTCAGACACGGGGAGCCAACATGTGTCAGGTGCCCCACTGCATGTGATCTCGAGCTGCGCTCGTTCATGTGGGTAGAGCCTTGCCGGAGCATGACAGGGAAGTCGTTTCACGGTCTGGGGCGAGCCGACACCTGGGTACACGCGCCTACTTGCCGTTGCTGCAACCCGCGCCAAAGTGCCTGAAGGCTGTTCGATGACGGTTCGTGCACTTCGCGAACAGCGGCTGCCCCTTGGCCTGGCCTGAAAGGCTTCTGTCAGAGAACCCACAGTGACTTCACTCAGCCTCTCCACATACACCCCGCGGTTCATGTCCTCGCCAACACTACGCTGGCGACAGCGAGCTCGAAGTAGTATCAGGTGAGGTTTCTTGATTTGCTTGACCGTGTCCTCCCTCACTTGCAAATTGGTGTTGGCCGGCTCCTGGGCAGTCTAAAGCATCAACATTTCAAGGGCTCACTCAAGTTTACTGCATCGCTGTTGTTTTCTGTGATCTCGTCACCTGCATTTGCATCCGGTATCTTGCTTCAAGGTCTGTTTGGACATGTCAGAATATGCCGTTCAAGGATCGAGCCTGGGGCCTAGAGACTTGAAGCTATTTGATTCGGGTTTCGAAAACTCTGACTGCCGACGACAAACAGACGTATGTAAGCTGCCAGCGAGGAGGTCTGTGATCTGTTCCTGCGAGACCGGAGACGAACAGCTTGCACGGACATTAAGAACACGAGGACAGGTTGCTCCTTGTAGATCTCGAGAAAAGAGCATCTGCCTCAAGACAGTCGGCTGCAAGAAGAATTTGAAAAGACAAAGAGGAAACTCGGCCAGGAGTGAAGCAGGAATGCTCGACCCCAGAGTCTTCCGTCCCTCTTCTTGCAACCTGCTGAAAGATGTTCAGACGAGGACTTCGGAAGTACCAGTAGATTTATTCTGCCCGCCCAGTCCCGGCAATCAAGACGGTCCTCGGAGAACACATAGTCGAGCATTCGGCAGATGATGCCACGGCGCTCGTCGAACCTTGGGAAGTTCGCAACCCATGCCGGAACTTCCAACAATCGGCTGAGTCCCGAGCTGCATGGACTGTACAGATGTTATTGGACCACACCTGATCAAATCTCACTTCGGGCTAGATGCGATGCTGCGACCGGGGCTGCAAGCTAAGGGATGCACATTGTATGCGTCTTACCGGCCCCCGTTTGTCCGTACACGTAAACGCTCCTGGAGCGACAGATAGCTTGGCTTTTGTCAGTGCTTCTCTCGCGGCGATGGCGAGTCGGCCAGGACTACAAGGTGGAATGGCCGAACAGATGGCTTGCACAGTTCTGCTGTATCTTGGGGTTCCCTGCCCATTGTAGCCGGCTAGGCAGCTGGAGCCAACCTCTGGACAAGAAGAAATCTGCAGACACAGAATCGTGTAAAGATCAGGGGCTCGACCATCCTTCCCAGAGATTCGAAGACGTCCTCGACAGGAACTGCCGACAAATCTACCAGGCTAAGCTACCGTTCGCTGGAAAGGTCCTGCTGGGTGGAGGACTCTCCAAGAACACCATCGAAAGCAAAGCTCCTCAAATCAAATGCTCAGCGGAAGGAGCATTCTTCGTCCTAGCCCGGTTTCCTGGGCGGGTCAGACTTGATGATGACGGAGCTTCCGTCTACAAAGACTGCCTGCCAGCCAACAGCGCTGGATCTCCATCCATACCCTATGGCTTTGCGGCTGCGCCTGCGCGCTCCCAACAGCAATCTCGCGCTCGGTTGGCGGCCGCACGCGGATGTGAACCCGGATCTTGGCCCCGCATTTGACAGCTATCACAAAACCGTGCCGAGACCGACAGAAAGGCCTGTGAGCGACTGGGTTGCCACAAATTCCCACAGTTCTCACACGCTTGAAGCCGACTTCCAAGACCCTTGAAGCCTCGAACTTCCTGCCGGCATCAAGGCGTCAAGGCATTCCACCAGCGGTTGGGTGTCGAGGTCCAGCGAGACTGGCTTCTGACCGGGCTGCAAAGACTGGTCCGCTGAGCTTGCAACGCTCTCACCCGTGTCATCTGGCGAGTCCTCCTCGCAGCTTCTGTGGACTGGAAGCTTTCCTTCGAACTTCGAACCAAATCTGAGCACAATGAGTCCTTGGGAGCCGAGAGAGATTGCATTGACATGCTCCCCTCCATACCTTCGGCATCGTGGCCCTAGGAACGCGCAGCTCTGTGGCGCTTGGCTGCAGAAGCTCCGAAAGGGGCCTTCCCTTTTGCTGTTCAGGCATGCAGGCCGGATCCGAGCTCTGCAAGGCCCAACATGGACATGGTCTTCTGCTCCATGCTTAGATTTCGGATCAGCTGTGTGTCATACTATTGTTCCATGATGTTCCATGTGATCGGCATGAACTGGAAAGCGACTGGCGTGCACCTGGACTTGTGTAACTTCCTCTCTTTGGGCACAACGGCTACACCGAAGTGCGACTGGCTCCAGGGATTGTTGACATGTACACAAATGCACTTCATTATAATCCGCCGAGGCCGGAGGTCTGGGGCGACTTGATCTGGTTCCAAAGGACCAATGTAATAGTATTACGGTATTACTCTCCCCGCTTTGCCCCTAGAGGCCTCCTGGTTTCGACTTGTGGGTTTATGTTCGAGGGCTCTGTTTGGGCCTTGCGTCCTGCCCCCTGTCCACCCTGTCACCGACCCTCCCCTTGCTCGGAAGCATATCTTTCTCCTCCCCCTGCCTGCTTTCCTGCATTGTTGGTGTTGTCTTGTTTCGACTGACAAGCATCTTTGAGCCGGGGGCCGTCTGCGAGGCGGCTCTCGCGCTTGATGGCCGCTTCTCCGCGCCGTCGCATTGCTTGATTTTGTGTTGGGCGCGTTGTGGGACGTGTACGGATGGTCCGAACACACGTCCTCAGTCACTTTGGCAAGTCGTGATTGCACCGGCGAAGGCACCGTCCAACGACGCAGGTCCCAGCCCCGACAACGCGACGTGACGTCCACTCAACCTAGGGCCAAGACCCAACATCTCGCAAGCATCTTCTACATTCTGACCAAAAGAACGACTCCTGCAATCCGTCTACGATCCGAAAGCCCGGCATGCCCGGCGGTCAAGTCAACGGCCAAGAAAACATTCCACTGCTCAAAGCAGCTTACCTGCTAGTGTTAGGGGCGGAATGTCACCTGGTCTTGCTGTTTCCTTGAGCACGCCTCGCTGAGCATCTGTGGCCTGCTTGTCCTGCTTGGTTTGTAAACAAACTCCGAAACTCCAGCAAGAACGGGCCGCTTTCTCTCCGAGGAGGAGCACCCCTCCTTCGGTCAGAGTCGGGAGCGTGGCTTTCGCTTCGCGAGCTCGAGCGCCACAGCCGCTCCGACCTCGAAAAGTGCTGAGCAAAGGTGCAGACCAGCTGCGTGACTGCACACTACAGCCCCAATTTGACATTCGATACAACTCTTTAGCAAAGATCCGAGCCTCGGCATTATGCTTGATCAAAGCTATGTTGGAGCGCAGCGACCTGATAGCAGTGCTGCGGCGACCGTGGCCATGGAGCAGGCCGATGTTCCAGTGCGAAATGACTTTGGGTGTTGATGCCGGAAGCCTAAAGGCCTAAGGTATGCACTCACCACCCGTGAGCTCGTTAATGCGCTTGAGTAAGAAGGGCGTGACCTGTCGCTGTACGAAGCTGTCAAAGTTCGTTGCAATTGAGGGCTGCCGGCTGCCACCACCAAGCCTCGTTCCCACGGATGTCAAGCTTTGTGCTCTCCTCCACTGCAGTCCTGGACACACCCCAGTTGCCAAAATCGCGTGACGCGCAAATGACAAACTGGACGCTCTCACACTCGCATAACTCGTACTCACTCTGACACTTCTTCCCCGTAGCCACAGTCTCTTTTCCCATTTCTGGAATGTAAACATCTTCAAGAACTAGGATCCTGTCGCCTGGTTCCGTGTAGTCTTTCCAGTTGCTGGAGCAAGCGCATAGAAGTAACGCAAGGTCGCCACGGAAAATGCGCAACCGCGTCGTATTTGGTCGTAAAGCTTTCAAGAAATCCTCCGAAGCTTCGTCGCCTTCCGCAACTTTGCGATCTGCTGAAATGTGCGCGAGGGCGCCCCCCAAGTGTGCTTCAGGGGTCACCATGCCATCAGCCGATCGAAATCGTAGATGACATGGCTGGACCCAATAGTCTTGATGATGCAGAAGGGTCTGCAGGGATGCATATGACACAGACCCCTGCATATCCATGCAACAGTGTTGGGGACACTCCTGCACAAGTGATAAGTTTGCTCTCAAGATCTCCGTGCCTCGTTGCCTCCTCCACCCTGGCACCCTCCGCAGCCAAGCTTTCTGGCACCGGCACGGCCAGCACCATGCCCTCGAGGCTCTCTGCAGGCTCTCTCGATGATGAGTGACTTTGCTCTGCTCCGGATTTCAGAGTCGAGCGGAGCCAAGACAGGCTTGCAGCTGCTGCGCCAAGACTTCTGCAGCCTTTCGGCAACGGCCGAGCTAGGAACACCTCTTTTTCACAACTGTCGCGATCGAGCCTCTTCTGGACCATCGACGCCTTGCACAGGGCAGCTACGATCAGCTCTTGTCACGGAGGTCAGCTGGAACATGCATTGCAAAGTCTGTTGGCAAAGAGCTGTCGAGAAGAAGTGATCTTAGCGACCCTTCCAGCTGTGATCCGTGTGGCTGCTAGGGTTGGCAGAGACCGGGTCAGCTGCTGCAGCTGGTTGTCAGGCCACTCCGGGGCCTCGTGTGACTCAGCCCCTGCCGTAACCCAAAGGACTCGGCGACTCGGCGACAGGCGTGAAGAAGGCCGGAAAATCACTGGTCCTGTACCCAGCCACCTCAGGCGCAAGCAGCTGATGCCCTTCACGTGAGATCTGCTGAGGGCCGCACACAAACACCCTGCCTCGTTGCCAAGCTATGCACTAAGGCTCGCGTTGCTGCACACATAAACTTGCAGGCAGAACGTCTCTAGGAACTCGAGAGTCCTGCAACACACCAGCAAGTGTATCAACACATTTGAAGGCTTTCTAGTGGAGTCACAGTAGGTCCTCGGAAGATCCAATATGCTCTTAGCGCCCGCGCAGACGACACAAACAGCAGTCCGCCTTAATTTGCAAGCTCCAAAGAAATCGGAGGTTATTCCCTGGCTATCCGTGGCTCCTGCCCAAGCTCTGTAAGGTCGGCTGAGACCTGGGAGGGATTGGCGCACTGGTAACACGGTTGCCGAGAAACTTAGCGTCCGGCGTCCCAGGTTGCATCTGCCCCGCGATGTACTCCACCGATCCCCCCGGTGACAAAAATCGGTATTCCAGCCTCTCGGCTGATCGTCTCACTGTCCAGAATCTGAGAATGAAGCGTCTGAAGCAGTGCGGCCGATCCTTGTCGGCGAAAATCATGGTTGCGGACACCGTAGTTGCACCATCCTGCTTCAAAGAGGGATGTACCCCAATCAACTGCTGTGATGGTCTCCTGACGCTTGGCCAGTACAGCCGCGATGTCTCTCCGACTTACCTGAAAGCGATACTGAGTGCCGGGACCCTGCTACCGCTACCCAAAAACCTTCCGGCATTCCAAGCCGAGCTTTGCCAGGGCCTGTGGCGAAAGGGTGATTAACTCCGTTTGTATGGAAGCGGCGTAAAGCGGCTGTCCTCAAGTTGCCCAGCATCCATACCAACCTCCAATCTGTGGAACAAGCTCAAGACATGCTCAATGAGAGGCAGGGGACACGGCATGGACGCGTCCCTTCAATATGCCGATCGTCGCTGGCACCACACCCCGGTCACGCAAAACCGCCTGCTGAGAATATTCGAGAACTCTGCTGCGAGCAATGCCGTGGCAGCCAGCGCCTCGACGTCCTTTGCAGTCTGCAGGTTCTGAGGGTATGGCCTCGACGCCCCGGAGGCGCAGCCGTTAAATCTTTCAATAAGTGCCGGGGTGACAGCATTCCATGCGAGATGATCGTGGACTCCAGTGCCTTCCAAAGGGACAGGTGTGTGGCTCAAGAATCAACTTGAGCAGGTTCTTGTTGTCTGTGCAGAGTAAAGTTGCCTATAGCAAACATCTTCAGGATTGCTGCCTGCATTTGGCCTCTCGTATATACGAAAGCTGTCAAAGGAGTGGTTTTGAGCCATAAAAACGTTCAAATGTGTTCGGGGTTGTCAAAGTCTCTATAGCCAATCTAGCTCGCGGAACGGCACGGAATTCGTTGTCAGGTGTCGTCTCCTGCAGGTTCTTCTTGTCTTATCAGCAGCCGAACGTGGCAGTGAGATCAGGCACTCGATATGCAAACAGATGGAAAATCCCTTGTGCCCCTCTTCAATACCAGCATGTCCAGACCACAATATGTTTGTCAAAAGAAAGAATGCGTACAGTAGGCCGGGGAACGACAACAGGTCTCCCATCGGCCAAGGCGACGCGGACCTGCACTGATGTGTCCAGTACACTCACGTATGCAGCCTGAGCTGCGTCAAACAGAATAGGACTGCATGTTTACTGATGTCTTTGATACTTCTTTGATGAACACCTCGTCGGACAGCAGTAGTGGCGCATCCACCACCATGGCTTCGTCTTCGGACTGCGCTTGGATTCTAGGATGGTGCTGCAGGTGCCATCGCTGGAATGTCTTGACGGACTTTTTTCAGGAGATCAATCACGGCTTTCGAAACTGCTAAGGAAGCACATCGATGCTGCACCCGCATGTCCTCTCACTGGCACAAGGCAAAGCAAGCAACGATGGCGCTCGAGGACCGCCGTCTGAGGATCTGCTTCGAAGGCTTCTCGAGCCGAGATCACTCCCCTGCTACCAGTGTTTTGTCTTGAAAAGCGATCTATCTGCAAATGCATGATTAGCGATGGAAAGGGATGCGCCCTGGACTTCCACCGCGTCCCTTCCAGCACTCGCTACAAAGCTTCACTCAAATCGCGATAACGGACGTGACTCCGCACCCGAACAATCCGAACCTGAGAGGGCGCTCTTATGGCCGCCATTCCATGCCGTCTTGGTCTTGAGCCAAGCAGGGCTGGATTTCAGCGACTGGCGCAGTTGGTTGGGATAGTTGAGGCGCCAGAACCAATCCTGTCATTTTGGAGTCGTCCCTGATCGGGTAGATGTACAAACCCAATCATCCAATAATCCGTGTGTTCTGCCTCAACTCAACTGCCTGGCCCCTGGCCGGCCCCCAACGCTTCTAACGATCAGGGCAGGTGAAGAGCTGGTCATGGAAAAGGAACGGAGACCAACTCGTCGCGACCGCCGCATTCCATACCTCAGCCGCAAGCCGCAAGGCAGGCCGTCACTTAAAAAACTCGATCCCTGCACAAGCATGCTGCTCAGGGATAGTATTAACGCCGTTGCCTCAGATCCCGGCACTTGAGGGCTTTCCTGCGATACTGGTAACGGTTCAGCTGCTTCATGCCCCGCGGCCGCTCCACGCTCCTGCCTACTTGGGCAAGCTGTTGAAAAGCGCTCACCTTTGCAGCCTCAAGGGCATGCAATGAGCCCATGTCAGTTGCACTTGCATCGCCTCCCCCATGCCTAATGTCAGCACATGTTAGCACCCTTTAAGCCCTCGAGCATACGGCGCCCATCTTTCCGACGCAGACGGGGGCAAAAGCGTCATCCGCTCCCGTTTTCAGATGCCAACTGTATGATGACAGGGCCAGACACCGGGAGCTGCCGTGACCCCAGCATAATCATTTCTGCGTCGTCCTCATCTGTGGTGGGAGCCAAGCAGATGCTTCCCTTAGGGGTCATTCCCGACGTCGACATTCTCCAAACCGAGTTCACACAAACACCAAGCCAGGAAGCCAGAACTTGCTTGAGCATGAAATTCGGAAGAAGAAATGAGGAAGCCTCACTCAGAAGCATGAAGGAAAACTGCACCTGGTCCTGTGTGCGCAGCACATCCATCGCCCAAATCTTGGTTATCAACTCTTTCTTGTCGCGACCCCATTTGGACAAGGTTCTTTGATGTTTTTTCCGGAAATCACTGGGAACTGATGTAGCAGCGTATGTGATGCGCTCACCCTGCTCTTTTCGAACATGCCGCGCGGTACACACGTTTGTCCAGAGCGCCGCGGCACTGACAGGTGATCCTTTCTGTTCAGTGCATAGAACCGCTGACCTGCTGTCGCCACAAGTACACAGCACGTGACTGGCCAAATAACTCGGATCCCAGAACCGTCTGCAGGCATCTGACAGGATGACAGCTGTCAAGTCGGCCACGCTTGCTGAGGCTGCTGAGGCTGAGCTTGCCGTCAGCTGTCCCAGAAACAAAGGCAGGCTCGCCCCAACGTTCTGCGAGAAAAGCTTCACATCGCCGTCACTGCCAAGATTTGTCCATCCATGCTGCCCACTGTTGAACCCTTCCAAATGGCCCAGAGCATCACTCAAAGTGCCGTGGGCCATGCCAGACAATCTGCGACTTTCCTGCTCATCCAGGCTGATGGGATGCCCCACACCATTCATGTACGCGGGATTAGACGCATGTGCAATCGAAGGCAGGATCGCACCCTAAGGTTTACGGCAGTTTACTGTGCATGTGTTTCCAGGTGCCCTTGCCCTTGACAGGTTGCCGACGAACATAAACCAGCTGAATCAGCCAAGCTTTTGCGGAATCCAAGCGATGGACTTGCCGAATGCCAACCACCGAACAAGATACTGGCACGCACTTGCAACTCCGCAGTGGCACTTCAGCTCCGCACCAGCAAAGAGATCTCCTTTCAAGCAGTGCACGCGAAAAAGAAAAACGCAAATGACGCACAAAGCCAAGGGCCCCGACACATGGCATCAGCCCCTTCCTTGCCACGTTGACCCTGGCCATGGCAAGAGCTTTACACACGCCCCTGTTCAAGCTCCGTCGTTTCCCTGCCTCACGATTTCGTCCCCGAGGCTTCACCGGTGGAAGTGGCTGGTCCTTATTTCGACTTCCCCAAGAAGCGGCCGGTTCCAAGCAGCGGCCACCCTTTCTTAGCTTTCGCTCAGCGGCCGGAAGAGGAAAGGGCTCGTCTACACCGTTCTCGTCGAAGAGCAGCGGCATCCCTGGCCGCTTGACCGCTAGAGAGAACGGCGAGATGCTGCAGCCACACAATGACACAATCAAGGAGGAGCACATTCTGGATGATCCTGCAGCTGGTTCATGACAGGGCTATTCCGCAATCGCCGAACCTTTGCAGGCCAAGATCTTCGGCGTTGTTTCCGATTCTGCATGTCGTGGGAGAGTTCGCAGCAGATCACCAACACGAGGCACAAACGTTTTCAGAGAGCCCCTGCACACGAGCGGGCGTGACCTTCCCGGGCTCAAGGGCTACTGCTCCGCGCATCGCCGCACACTCAGCTTTTTCCCACCTCCACGACCTTCTTGGAGTTCAGGCCCGGCAAGCACTTCCGAACGTCCACTCCGTGAAACAAGCCAATGAACCTGTTGTCAAGAGAGCCGCGGAGGCGCTCCCCAGAAATCGCTCCTCGAGGCCCTGGGCCCGCAGGGCCTCTCGCATGAGTCCTGTGTGCGGAAGTTGATGAACCCGTATCTGCCGCGCGGTGCTGAGCAAGAACTTGCCGCCATGCTAGAAGTGATAAGGAAAGGTGTCGGCAAGGCCCCACGTTGCACTTGTTCTTGAAATCTATAGGGAGGTACATGAAGTCAAACCTCAAGGCAAGGGCTGTGCTACTGCGCGTGGCGCTTGCATCTAGCCGGGGCCCGCACTCGCCGTTGAATTCCAAGCTGAGCTGCTTAATGAGCATCTCCCTGGTGTACCTGAGAGCAGTGATTCAAAAAGAGCGTGGCAGCCCGTGGCCTCTCGAGGGATGCACTTGTTCGGGATGTTTCGGAGCATGACCGTCGTGTACGGCCTGGGCATTGAGATCTCTTGCCTTCGAGCATCTTCGAGCTCTGTGAAGTTCCGAGAGCTTGGCTCATTTCCTTCCGGGCGCTCCTGTCAGTTGGATAGAAGTGATGCTGGGGTTCACCTCACTCTGAACTGAGGCTGTTGCGTAAGGAATCGGAGGGATTTTCTTCTCTTTCGTGGCGGGGTCGGCACCTAGCAGCTCGGAGTTCCGCTTGCCGCGGAACTCGCGCATGCACCCGCCTTGTCTGGGCTCCTCCTTCCAGGTGCCCGCCTCGCCAAGAAAGCACAAACCCATCGAGGCCATTCTGCAACAGCTGCTAAGGGAATTGCCCACTCCGGGTCCTTTGCGCTCCTCTCTTCCTGCACAACCAACGCATGACTCACTAGGCAGGGGGGGTGGCATGGACATGTCACCTGTCCTCCCATCCCCTCTGCTCCTTGCCCTTGCCTTTGCCTTTGCTGCCTCGACGGCTTCCGGTATCGGACGCCTCCTGCACAGCTTGCGCATAAGAAACTAGCATTTCTCACTGTGACAGGAGGCTCGCGTCTCGCGTCCTTCCAGTACGCGTCATCTTCCCCTCGCCGCCAATCGTCTTTCCAATCGTTGTCTTTCCAAGCATAGTCTTTCCAGTCCTTGTCCTTCCAATCGTTCTTCCTCGAGCTCTCCTTCGTATTCAGTGTGGAGGGATGCCACGGGCTGCACACCGAGCTTACAATCAACCCAGCCTGCCATTCATGCCACGAGTTGTCCTTCCAATCTTTCCATTTACTATCGTCATTGCTAGGACGGTGGTTCTCACCATTGGTCGCAGTCGCAGCTGATGCCTCCTGCAGGATTAGCAAGAAACGTAGAGCTCTCGTGGCTCTTCCGGCGCTTCCGTGGCGTCGTGTCCTCACGTTTCGCGACCGCGACCGGCTCTTCTTCTTTCGTTTCTAGTTGCGCCGGCGCTGGCCCAGGCTCCTGTTGCAAGTTCAGAAGCTGCACTCGTTCGCACTCGCTAGCACTCAGGCTCGCTCCTCTGCGCCCTTCGGTGGCTCCATCTGGGTCAGCTGCTCCTGCAAGCAGCAGTTGGAGCATAGCTCCAATACATCTTGCGAAGCTCCTGCTGAAACTCCTGCATCTGCGCGGCCTTTTGCAGCTGCTCCTGCAGCTCCGGTGGCATCATGGCTTGCCTGGCGTCTCAGGTCGCAGGGTGCATCTCCCTTTCACTGGATGGCAATCGCCGGAAGACCCGTCCATGCAGGGCATTTGTCCATCCATGCCCATCTGCTGCCAGTACGGCATAAACCTCAACACAAGGCGGCAAGCGGCAACGTTTCTCCCAAAGATGCCGGGGCCCTTACATCCCTTGCATGTAGGTCTCTGGGCACATCTCCGGAGGCAAGAACTGCATACCCTGCATCCAGAACGAAGCTCTGGATGCTAGACAGCTGCAACCGTCGGTGAAACATCCGCTCAACGCAGCGTTGGCAACATGTAACTGTAAACACACACAAGGCCTGCATGAATCCGGCGTTCATGGCTGCTACCTGCACCTCCTCAGCAGAAACGGTACTCTTACGAGTGGTCGGATTGTCTTCGAATGAGCTGTGGCCCCAGCATTGTAGTCGACCTGTTCCTCTGACTTTTCAAAGGGAGGACGCTCACACGAGACAACACATGTCGGAGCCTCGCAGTCATAAGCTGGTGGGAGACCTGAACAGAAACTGCTCACAAAGAGTCCAGTGCCAATGGAAGTGTGCCAAATCTGAATTTGAGCGAACCACCCATCTCCGGCATTCCATAACCGTATCCGTTGAAGTCGGGTACCTCAAGGCACGAAGACGACGCTGGCATTCTGCAAATATGAAAAGGTTTGTGCTGTCGAAGCCACCTGCGGCGCAAAGGACGAATGTAGAAAGGGCGATGGTGTTGTCGGAACAACGTACCTGTCAAGACGAAGACTTTGCTACTAGGAGTTCCACATGCTACCGATGAGCATGATCTAGGGCACGCTGGCTCGTTTCCCATGTTGGCGGCCTACCACTTTGAAAAAGGGCTCCAAACGACTGTCAAAGGAGTTCACAGTAAATCTTGCAACTGAAGATCTGGGTCGAGCACTACCTGGGCTACAGACTCACCATTGGAGGCCGTCCTCACACATCGCATATGACTTGCAACACAACCCAATCAGCTCGCTCATGTCTTGTGAGACCTCTTCCGAGTTGCGGCGACAGTTGGAGAGTCCCCCTCTACCTGAGGGCTGCTGCGAAAGCTTCCCGGCGCTGCGCGGCTGCCGACACTTAGAGGCTCTTGAGCATGGCCTCAGCAGCATCCTCAAGCATCTCGAAGTCCACATCGTCTATGGGCATCGCCTGTGGATTCATGCTTGAATGCTTGGGCTAAGGCTTCCTGGAGAAAGTGCCGCATTGGCCTGGCGAGTCTCATCGACCGGCTGCAACCTCGCGTGGTGTCTGTGATGAGTGATGACTCACTTACGGACCTGCATCAAGATCCGGATCGGTTTTCTCCGCAAGGCGCGCTGCAAGATACCGCCGTTGCCCTGCCATGCCCTACCGTGGGTCCTAAGCCATCTCGCCAGGACCTCCTTAACATGTCTTGTGAGCGAAGCAGCACATTTAGCTGTCGGTGGCGTCGACAATCACGAGCTCATGAGTCACGAGCAGGATTCCGTTGAGCAACTTCTCCAACAAGCCCTCACTTTGTCACCAGGTCGTGCCGCCAGCGCTTTTCGTGCCCGTCTTCCATCATGGGCTCCAACAAGCCTACGAGCAAAGATCCCAGACTTCACAGCAATAACGGAAGCGTTCTCCAGGCCTCGAAACCTGGTCGATCCGTCTTCCTCCGAGACAGTCCAACGAGCTCCATATCCTTGCTTGACCCGTACCTGCGCTGACATGGATGTGAAGATCCTGTAGCATTTTGAATCAAGGGTGTCAGAACCAGGCTGCTCATGGTATGGGATTTCCGTAGAATGTTACGCATGATTTTGAGTGCTGGGCGTCCTCCTTCAGAGATACGGAAAGCTCTCACAACACAAGCACATCAGGGCAACCGAAGTATTGCCGAAACAAACTATAGCAGAATGGCTTTACGCCCGCAAAAGAGAGTGCAGGACTGCTACACATGCAAAGCATTGCCGGAACAGACTACAACAGTCTCCGGTTTGCCCCCGGAACCCAAGAGCGGGCAGGACTGCCACAAATATTATTGTCCGGTGTTTTTATATAACAAGCTCACAGGGACAAAGCTATGTCATATAGGAGTGCAAAAATGGTGCAGCAAACCGCGACGACTGCTGTACTTCTCCTAGAAAACCTATTCTTGTCTGTATTTCTCCTGGAAAACCTAATCAATTCTGTATTTCTCAAAGAAAACCTTTCCAATTCTGCAATTTCTCTTTAGACAACCTATTCAATTCTGTATTTCTCCAAGAAAACCTAGTCAATCCTGTTTTTCCGCTAGAAAACCTATTCAATCCTGTATTTCCGCTAGAAACCCTATTCAATTCCGTAGTTCTATTCTTATTCATTTCTCCCAGAGAACCTATTCAATTCTGTATTGCCCAAGTACCTAAGCTACTCATCACAGTGTTCCAGACTGAGTTGTCCCCAAAGAACGACATTTTGATGTGTAGCGTTGTCGAACACAGTTGCGCAAGCCAAACTGTTAGTCAACAGTAAGCTGACCAGCAAATACTGTCATGCTCGGGAGAAGCTGGCCTCAAAGGTGGGGAGGCCCCCAGGCAGTTGATGAAGATTGCCCCAGACCTCAATGAGCCGAGTTCAGATGTGCACAGAAGAATGAAGCACTGCCTGCTGCTTGCTACGAGCGGCTGCCTCCCGCAGGACTGTGCGCAAAGCAGTCTCTGCGGCCTGGTTCTTTGCTGCATCGCTTCCAGAAAGTGCACCGACCCAAAAGCCCTCCATGCCACGGTGCGCCTAGCAAGTCCAAGCAATCATGGATGCCATGGAACGGAGACCGAGCCCCTAATTTAGACATGAGGCATGCTTGGCCAACGCTCGGGCACCCACACTCAGCATGGACGGGCGTTGCAGGCGCTCGCCTAAGAAATCTTCAGAGCAAGGTAGCATCATCCGTTCACAAAGTCTTCTTCCGAGAAGCGCTTCATCTTCGTCAGCTCCTTCCTGAGCAAACGCAGACAGGATGTATCATGCACTGCTGGCGTTCACTTCAAAGGTGGTTCTTCTGGTCTACAAGGTTCTAGGCAGATGAAGGTCAAGATTGGCTCTCCAAATTGGCCACGGCTGGCCTTCATTCGGCTTGGGGTGCATTATGGGCAGGACGGATTAGAAGTCTGGAGCTGTTCCGCTACAGGCCGAAAGCTCCTGCAAGAATGGTACGAGGCGCATTCTGGAAATTGCCACGGCGAGCTCCGTGTGCCTTCCCTGCTCGGCGAGCGTCTTGATCTGCGACCTCAGCGCCTGGGCTTCGTCCTCCACGTCTGCCATGCCAGGGCTTGCAGTGTCGCTTTCGCCTTAGCACCAAGAACGACCCACGCTGAAGGAACGACCAAAGATGGAAGACTCATTGCCGCTGTGTCGCTCTCAGAAGTATCGTCTCTGTTGAGAGCATTGAATGCTTTGATGAGCTCCATGCGAGAGGGCGGGAGCATGTCGCAGCTCCCCGCAGTCCACCGCTGCCCCAGTGCCAGGCGAATTCCTCGCCGCCCAAGGCATGAAAAGGCAAAGATCAAACTCTGCGTTCCGCAACGTTGCACGCACTCCTGCCACCGCACAATTTCTTCGTCGTCTTCGACCAGAAGGCTTGTGAGGCCGTCGTTTTGCGGTAGAGGAGGTCGTTGAAAGCGGCCTTCACGGATGCAGAATTCCAAAGCACCGGCCAACGATGCAGAATAAGGTCGATCCAGTACTGGACCAGAAACTCTGGTGGGTCCATGCTCGTGAAGCTCGTGCTGCTGCTCCTTGATTGCACTTTCCATGTGTCCAGGCGGCTCTGCTGGGCCTGACAGGCCTGATCCCGTCGTCTCCGGCTTTAACAGGCCTTCGATAAATTCCTGGCCCAGGATATCCTTCAAGCCATTGCCCTCGGCATTCATCAGCACACTGTGTACGGCCCTGTATACGTCGCTATCAGGCAAGTCCATCAGGCGAGTGCGGCAGAAGGTCCACCCATGGGCCAATATCGCGACTCCAATTGCGGACTTTCTGCGTATCTTCCCGCTTACAGCCAGGGGTCGTCCCCCCATTCCACGTGGCCCATCTCCGACGGAAGCATGTCATGCGCACCCTTTTGGATACGAACTTTGGTGCCGGTCTTGAGAACAGGCAGGCTGCTGTCATGCAGGTTTTGCTGGCCGGAACGTCAGTCACCCTTCCAAGCTGAGCTGCAGACAATGGAGATGCAATTGGCGACTTAGACGCCACCTGGAACATGCAGATGCATCAATCTGAAAGGTCTGAACGTCTGGTCTTGCACACCTGGAACCTTTTTTTACTCGTCGCTGCTCTGCACTTAGTTTGGTACCACCAGCGGTGACTTCTTTAAGTCGTGTCCATCACTTCGGCTCCGCCTAGCCGGAAAGCGCGCGAGTCCGAATAGACTCTGGCTCGGTGCGGCGGCGCAGCTCGGAGGGTTTTTTCCTCCCCCGGCCTCTTCCGAAGCGCTGCTTCCTCCTCGGGACAACACCCCGCGCTGTAGCACATTGAAAGCGCCTGCGTGTCTCATGCGGTCCTCAACCGGAGCGATTTCAAGGAATGTATTCTTGACCTTGAAAGAAGCATCTGCGACGCTGGTAGGGCCATGCCTGCTTCAGTAGCTGCGCAAGACATTGTAGCACTTGTGCTGGTCGCACACACCGAGCAAGCAAAGCATCCGAGGAGCATGGTCGGCGTGACCAGTGGGTCCCAAGCACCGCCGGCGCCACAGGGAGTCAGGGAGGGGTGTGCTCGCAATGCGGGGCCAATGCTTGCACTCTACACTCTCGAGACGAGGTCGGGGGTGGCTATGGAGTGGGCTGCAGACTCGGCTCGAGGGTGATCAAAGCTCTACATGTCTTCTTCTGTCCTCATACCGAAGTGTGCGTGCGAGCTCGAGCTTGCTTGCAACTTGCGCTTGCACATTTATAACCCCCCGGCTGACACTTTGGCCAGGATTCGAGCAAACTAGGCGCTGAGGGTCGGAGGAGCAATGTGTGCAACTACCCGCCTACGCGAGCATCAACGTAGTGCCGGGACGTGTAATGAGACAAGGGGCAACCCTCCGAACCACCGCTGCTCACGTAGTTTCGTTTTCACTCACAATACTTGAGCTGTGCGTTGCAACGAATTTCATCATGGGCGGTCGCTTTGGACCACAACTGCACTATCTTGGACGTGCGTAACTGCTGCACGGGTCCCTTGAGGGAGCCATGCGAACATGAATTCGGCTTCTTGCACAACGGAGAACGACAGTATTGAATGGAGCAACAGCGATCATGTAGGAACATATCCTGCCTTTCGTGGCAAAGCATTTGGACTGTCTCCTGCCATGACGTCCTGCTGAAGTCCAGCTGTCCGAAGGTGCTTTTGCTGAGCCATGTCTCGAGTTTGACAAGTCAGGCTTTGCACAGCAGCCATAGCGAACCATTGATACTGCCCTTGCATGAGCTACTTGGTGCGAGCGGTGGCCACCTAGACTACGACCCCATCATGAAATCAAATCCCAGCCTTCGAATTGGACTAGGCGAAGAACTCATCTAGCCTGGAGAGTGTCATTGAAAGGGCCTCGTCAGAACCATTGATCATCGATGCGTCTGATTGACGGGCATGTGTGCCTGCTAAGACCAGAAGGAAACAAAGCACGGGGGGCAGGAGCCAGTCTGCACAAAACACGGAAGACAACAATGAGAGAGAGAGACATGAGTGAGAAAGACTAAGAGGGAGAGAGGGAGGGAGGGAGGGCTCTCGTGAGAGCACTGAGACGGACACCCTTGGCTCACGGTCTCCAGCAGCGTACGCGATCGTTACCTGCGATCTGGAGAATCTAGAACAGACCTCTGCTGCACCGATGTGAGTCAGATGGAACCTGGTGGCCATGAACTGCAAGGCCACTGGCGAAGGCAAAGCGAGGAGCGAACCTGAAAATGCCGTCTCTGGCCAAGGCAAATCCTGAACTTTGTAAAGAGATGAGCTGCGAGCGGCCGCGGTGGTAGCTCTTGCAGAGGCAAAGCCTTGGAAACCTGGAATGCTCCACGAGAACACACATTGGCCTTCCACAGATGGCACTACAGTATGCCTGCAAAATCTGGAAAGGTGGATCGGGAGAAAACCGATATGCATGATGCCAGTAGCGACGGACCTGCCGGGTTTGGCATGCTCCACGACTCCCAAACATTCCCTGTGCTCCGTGACCTTCAAGTCTGCCACGTGGAACAAAGCCAGGAAGTGCGACTGCCGAAGCGTTAAATTCGCTGCTCTTGCTGCAGACGCCTCGGGCAGATTCTGCAATCGGAAAGCACTGATACCTCTGCAGTGCGTCACAGCATCAACTCAAGCAAGGATCTTTGTTCGTGCAGGAGCTTGTCAAAGTCCATCAGGCTGGCTGAGGAACAGACATCTACATGAACGGCTTGACCAGATCCTCGATAGGCCTTGTCCAGGTTCTCCTCCTGCATTGGGATAGGTTAGCATAACTTCAATCAACATGGAAGTGCGAGAGCAATCGACACCACTCCTGCATCTGAGCCAGTGGTGGGAAGAGGGTACGAAACTGTGACCTCCAGCTGAACTGCTGCACTGTTACCCCAGCTCCACCTCAGTCTCTGAGGCTGAGGCCCACATGTGCCTTGCCCGTCGTGCACCAGCTCGTGTACAAGATGAGGAACCAGAGAGTAGACCTTTTCTACTGGTTTGTCTTGCTGGGCGATGGCAAGTGCTCTCAGTCTCCCTCCTTCAACCAGCTCAAGCTCCGGCCACATATGTGCGGCTATTGCGCTGAAACGGGATCCAATTCTTCTCGTTGTGGTTCCATTCTGAGATCAAGCAAGTCTGGAGCTCATTCGCTCAGACCGCTTGCCACGTGTCCGAGGACGTCACGCCCGCATTTCAAGTGGAGGCCGTGCGACACCTTGCTTTGACAACTTGAGTGAGCACGACTCAGTGTGTCACGAACAGGCCTTGCCTTATCCACTGCCTTTGTGTCTACACCTGCAGATGCAGGTGCCCAGATCAACATGGACACAATCCTGTCTTTTAGGCAAGCGGACGGCACCTGAAGCAAGAAACATCTGCATCACATCTCGCCGCTTGCAGTCTTTGCCTGCCTGGCCCGCAAAATCCGATTGAAACATTATGCGTCCAGCACTAGATTTAGGCTGATGGGGGCTGGCCATGGATTAGAGATGCCACATTATGTGGCACCAGGAGCCCGCACTTCGCTGGGGCTGGCAAGCTGCATGTTCTAAAGCCGGCCGTCACGGGCCTTGGGTGTGTATGAGCTGAAAGCGATTTGTACCTCCGGTGTGCTGAGAAGGCTAGGAGTACGTCATGAAGCGGACAAGGATTGCGACCTCTTCCGAAGAGCACCATCTCGAATGGCAGTTGCGGCAATGGTCACGTGAGGAGCTACCTCGGAATCATGTCCACGACAACATGACAAAGACCTTGTCCATTCAGCGCAGATGCACAGGTCTCCCGGTTCACGCGGAGTGCTGCCTTAGTGGAGGAATCGCAAGTTTTGAAGTGTGCCAAGCACCTGCGCTTGCCAACGAGAGGCAATCAGCACTTGACTTGTCGCAATAGCCCTGTATCAAAGGGATGACCTTCGGATCCTGAAAAGGTGCAAGAAAACCACTTCTGGCGACTTCGCTTCCGGATGTCCTCTGGACCTGTCACCACAAGCCTGAGACTTTCAAGGGAAATCTTTTCAGACTTCTTCACTCTGAAGAGCTGCGCCTTATGAGAGTCTTGTTCTCTGGGACGTACTTCTGCCGCTCACACAAGTTTGGGTATGTCCAGCTCTGGCCATCTTCCATGCGGAGACCTTTGCACATACCCGCAGCAGCGATCATCAGCGCAGTTTGCTTGTGGCATTCGCAGGCCGAGCTCTCTGGCCACTCCACGGTCGCAATGTCGTCCCGTTGGCGGGGAGTTGGCCGTTGCTGAAAAACCTCGTGGAACGGAAGCAGATCGAGACCCCGAGTGGAGGGCGCGATGTGGGCCTCTTCCAATCCTCCGCAGCCATCTTCACGCTTCCGACGACGATCTGCGAGTGCCAAGTCTCCTCAGAAAATCAGCACCCAGGCCCCCAGAGCCTGCCCAAGCTCAGAGGCTTAACATGTGCCTTGCGCCTGTGCCTGAACGCAACCGTTCTTACGTTCGGCCCTGGCCTCCAGCACTGCCTCGTAGTTGTGCATGGCAGAGTTGTTCACAACGTTGCTGTTGTTCTCAATGCTTTTGCTGCTTTCGCGAAGAAGTCTGGATGACCGCCTGCCCAGCCGCGAGTCTGGAGCATAAGTACTGTCCGATTTCCGGCAGCGGCATGCAGCGGCGAGCTCGTGGGCAATTCCGAATCCAATTTTCTGTTTGCCTGCAACCTGCTGGTGAAGTCCGAAAACAAAGTCGGGGATGCAACCTCATTCATTCCCCAACGATCAAGCCTCCGATCAAATCAAAACCAATACCTGTCTTCATTCTGTCTCGGTCCGTACCATGCTTACAAACCCCTGCACCCTATACATGGTCTACTGCACACTGCTGACGGGCACCAAGCAAGCCTGTGAAGGCGTGCTGCGATGATCAGCCGGTTTCCGTCTGGAGACACGGTGATGGATGGGTTGATAAAAGCCTTGGTTGGGCAGACACATACCCTAAAATACTCTGGGACACTTGCCAAGCTCCCTGCCCCACCACCTGTGGCACGCATGTCCTTCAGCTTCTGGGTCGCATCCGTTCTTTTGGGCTGGACTGTTCTATGGCTGGCCCAGCCTTGTCACTCATCACCAAAGGGAGCCGGATGTCAAGAAGCCCATCTTCATGGATCTTCGCAGGCAGGTCTACCTGCCGGTACGATCTACGACACCCGAGCTCTAACACCAGCCTCTTCTCAAGCGGCCTCGACAGTAGGAGCCGGCAGAAGACAACCGCCCAGCCTTAGCTCTCAAGCATGCTCTCTGATTCTCTGCATGCGCTCTGGGGTTGACCAGAGTCTGCACATCTGTTACTCCACATTGACGGGACAGGAGATAACAGCTCCAGGCAAGGGTCCAAATCAGAAGCAACACCATCGAGATGCACGTTGGAGCCATCCAGGCTGCCTGTTGATCGCTTCTCATGAGCCCTAGGACAAACTCTCCCTGCTCCACACCAGCAACACCAGCAAGAAGATTGATTCTGCAATGCTGGTCATATAGACAGCGAACAGGAACCTCACATATCACCGATGAAGAACGGCGGCGGAGACAACGATCACGCCATCAGCAGCTCTTGTTACAGGCTGTCCAGCCTTCAAGGGGGAGATCTTCCACAAGACTTCTGCGGGTCGTTGCACCTCGTCAGTCACTGGCATGCTTCAGTGGGCCACCTACGCCGGCCAGACAATTCAGAGCTCCAAGCCTCCAAGCCTCTGAGCACCAGACAAAAACCTGCATCAGCGTTGCGATGGCAATCAAGTACATGAAGAAGGGCAGGGAAAACTCCTGCCAGCCGGAGGTGTAGGACTCAGGAGCCCGACATAGAGGGATCAAGATGTACGAACAAGGCACTGGGGGTCCTGGCCAGCCCAGAGCTTCATGCAGATAAACTGCATCACGTAGACGCAATACGAGTAAGACTCCTCCGCGGAAGCTGCGGAAAGTGCTTTCCCAGCCCTCATGGAAGCTGACGGCTGCATCACCTCTCCCACAAGGGGGGGACGAAAGATCAGCAAGCAGAAAACACAGGGTGCAGAGCGGAGCAGACCGACTCCGACAAAAAGCCAACTGCGAGTGCCAGGCAGGAAGCAACACCGCCCGTGGCAGCTTCCAGCTTCCGAAGGCGTCCCGCACGGCTTCACGAACGGCATCCCACCCAACCGAAACGCGACAGTGCACCGAAGCAAGTCCGTTGGAGGCACTCTGAGATGCTAAAGGGGAGCTTTTGCTTGCTGATAGCTGCTGCTGGTACCACCAAAGTGGCATCCAAGCGGCCAGGAAGTTGAAGTCAGAGACCCACTTCGCAAGCCTTGATAAGAGAACGAATGCACTTGCTCGTTTCTACTCATTCTGCATAGTACATTTAGTAATGTCCAGCACGGCAACCACCGCCGACAACACGGATACCGCCACGAGAACATGCAGAGCGACTCAGTCCATGGCTTCGGCTGTGGAAAGCCTTCGAGACCAGCCAGGCCAAGCAGAATCGCAGCCTGCAGGAATCTCACGCTGGGCATCAGAAACAGAGTCCCGGAGACCTCGGCTCTTCCCAACTTCGGTTCATGAAGTCCCTTCGCATCACACTGTCTCTCTCCCTGCACCCCCTGACAAAGCTTGAGATGAGAAGAAGAAGATGCTGCGCCCACTGCTCCCTTTTTCGAGGGCGAGTCCTGCAGCGGAAGCAGAACGAGGATGCGGGCCGACAGCTTCGCGTAGGGAGGACTCGCCGCCGGGACGTTAAAGACCTCTGCTGGGAGCTCTGCTGCTCTCTGCTCTCTGCTGCTCTGCGAGCCGTTTTTTACAACTGCTCACAGCACGGACTTCCTCGGCTCCGGGCCAAGAGAAGACCGAAGTATCCAACTGGAGCTAACAGGTCGAGCAGGAGAGCCAGTGCCTTGTCTCAAGGCGCACAGGAGCTGCCTGCGGCACGATTCTGTCCGAGAAGAAGGCCCTCCGCATCTCCGAACCCATCTGTTCGGACCTTGAAACACAGACTGAGAGTTGTGTCATTGCCTTTACTGCGCAAGCCTGGGCACCTGGCAACAGCAGCCGCAAGCGTGCCAGCAGCATTCCCAATACGAAAACATGCAGGTAGCCTGAGTCGCAAGTCTTATCGCAGCCGAACTCACAAGGCCCTCGGCATGCACCGCGGTGCGGCCGAATCGCAAATGGGATGAAACTTTATCACGATGACGATGATGTCCGTCACATTACGCATCTTCCCCCAGCTGTGATAGTCCTTGTGCGGGTCAGCAAAAACCACTTCTGCAGCTGTTTTGACTTAGTCATGATAAGCACACGGTCAAACACGGTCTTCTGCAAGCCGAGAAACATACCAGTTAGTGGTCCCGTAGAAGAGGTCGGGTATTAACATGTAAAGCACTGGAAAGCTGCACAATGCAGCCATTCCAAGCAAAACCTGCCCGTGCAGAATGAAGCTGTCCCGATTTCCCGAAAAAGCCCTTGCTTTCGGTGCCTCTTGCAGTTGAATGTGATAGACTCTCCTCGGCTGAGCACAGAAGGTGGTCCGTGATGCATCTCACAGACATGCGTTTCTGCACACTTGAGGTGCCTGGCGAGAGTTGGGAAGCAAGTCCAGTACACGACGAGGCAGGACAGGAACCAACACCTCGTCTGTCCAACTCTGCAGCACAAAATGCAGCCAAAATGCAGAGGACGCATCCTGAGGCAAGCTCTGCATTTGCAAGCCTTTCTCCGTAATGGTGGGCACCCATGCTTGCATCAGCCAAGCCTGACACGACCGATCCCCATGCATGTATGTTATGTGCTGGTGCCGTTTTCGGGATGTCGGTTCCTGCATGAGCAGTACCCATCCACTTGGCAGCGTCCCAGAGATCACGGCCGGAATGCTCGCAATCAGAAGGCTTACAGCATATACAGGATAGATGGTGACCTCGGGAACAAATCAAAGCTGGCAGAACGCTGCCCTCTTCGTTTTTGCTTGCTCCACGAGGATAAGCTTCTTGCAAATCGTCTGGCAACATACTCGTAGGGCTGCTCCTGGGAGGGCGCATGCACGACGCAGGCCAGGCCTCCCCCCGCGCGCGTCGCAGCCTTCCGCGGGTTCTTCATCTCCGCGGTGCAAAGGATGAATCCCGAGAGCATGAAGAACCACGGCACCCAGGTGAACCCCCAGTTGCACATGTACCTTACCAAACGCAGGAACAGCGCGAAAGCTTCAGGGATATTCCGTCACTAGCCGGGTGGCACGTCCATCGTCTCGCCCCGAGCGTTGAGGTGGCCCAGGACAACATGGAGGGATGCCAGGTATCGGGCTAAGCCGAAAGAGTAGCGATCGCCCTTTGGTGGCATTCGAAATACCATTTCACCGCACGAATTTGGTCCAACTTTCGGACTGGGACTGGTCAAGACCGCAGATGATGTGGGGCTGTTGAGAAGCCGCTGCTGGGAATCCACGTCGTCACTGGCGTCCAGAGACGGCGCCGTGCCCTCCTCCCTAGAAAGGCGTGGCGCCACCTTCGGGGAACCTGACTTTCTCATCGCAAGCACACGAGCACTCAGGTATACTCACGTCTACTCATGTCTTCTCGGGCCGCTTGTCCCTGATGTCCCTGGCCTGGCCTGCTCCCCAGTCCTCCGACCACCAGGCTGCGGGTGGCTCCTCCAGATCCTCACCAACCTTTGTGCAGCGTATCGTGGCAAAGAAGCCATGCCTGCAGTCCGCCATGTGACAGGTGCCGCCTTGAAGGGCAGAATTGGGTCCAACATCTCATCTACCTTCACTGCCTGACGAGACCAGATAATGCAGAAGCTTGGCAATGAGTCGAAGAGCTTCTTCAGATGCACAGCCTTCATGCAAGGTCGTGCATAGCGGGCAATCAAGACAGCCGCTGTCAGTAGGAGCGATGAAAACACCCACTGAGCCAAAACTGGGTCCTGACTGCAAGCTCTCGACAAAAAAGGATTCAAGCACGCGGCAGTATTCATCTCTTGGACCTAGCCCTGCCGAGCCATGCAGTCCTCTCTGACGCCCACCAACCGCTCCCAGAACATGAAGCTGCTGGAGGTTGGAATGCTGAGGCCAGGCTGTAAGCCTGCAAAACGAACTGAGAAGCGAGAAAGCATGTATCAGTGCAGCCTGGCCCGGGCCTTGTCCTTTTTGGGGCCAAAACTCGTGAGTTTTGGCTTCTGCCTTTGCCTTGCCGGCAGTGAGTTCACTCGCACAGTAGCCTCGAATTTCGATTCGGCCTCACTCCCACTCCGGTGAGTTGTGGTCTGGAGCACAGTTTCCTAAACAAAAGTGAGCTTGAGACTGAAGCCGCATCTAGAAGGCCGCACGCTGATGTGCTGGGTTCCGAGCATTGCGACGTCCTGTGGTTGTGGCTTCAGTAGTGGTGGTGGTGGTCGTTGTTGCGGCCTCTATCGCTTCAGCATCGGCCTTTGCGCAGGATGCTGGTCTTCTCTGGTGTCACGGGATCCTGTCGGCTTCTTGTATCGACTTGCACACTTTTTCTCTCAAACCTGTGTCATCTCCTGCCTTGCTCCAGGCTTTGCAGAAGCATATCAAGAACGAAGACATTTGACACGTTGCACTGGAGCTGCACAGACGGCACAGGGACCAGGCGTCTTAACATCGCTTGAAGCGCTCGGAGGACATCTTTCTCAAGAGTCGATGATCTTGGAGTGCCGCGATTGGCCAGCGACCGGAGCGATGATACGAATGGAGTTCCCGCCAACACTTCGGGCGCTGTCGTTTTGGGATCGACTCTGTCTTGAATGCGGCACAATGCTTGCACCGAGATCTGAGATAGTCTTGCAGACAGTGTGGTAGGTACACCGCACAAGTGCAGGTAAAGAAGATACCTCAACAGTGCGTGATTGACCTTTGAGCTGCAGAGTCCTTCGGAGACCAAGAGCGAGTGCAGCCGCTGGCAGGTCGTCGTCGGAAGATTGGGCCCCACATGAAGAAGCAGCGTGTTAAGGACGTGTCTCGGGGGCCGCTGCTTGCCCTTCATCAGTTCCAAACCCCAGCGGCTCAGTGCAGGTTCGGGGAGCCGCGAATGGCTCGGATCAAGGGCGCACAGCACCGCCAAGACGTCAACGGCAGGAGACAGCTCTTGCAGCCGTAACAAAGCCCGCATCCGACATGCCAGGCTGTCTCTCAGACGTCGTGGCAACACGAGCTGCAGCTCGAGACAGCTGTTACACAGAGACTGCAGCAAGTGCGATGGTAACTCGGCAACCTTCCACGGTTGACTGACCTCATCCAGGACGGCTGTCAGGAGCTCATCCGAAAGCATCCACTGGTTCCACTCGGGGTTCGCGATGTCTCTGGAGTCTTGACGAGATGCCTTGGCCCAGAACATCAGTACGTGTACCAGATCAGCCATTGTTGCGGTCTTGGTCCTCACACTTCGCAAGACAGTTGTGGAAGCCACTCTCCAACTCTCCTCGTTCCACTCGGCAGTCCGTTGCTTTGCAAGTGACTGCAGGACCGACGCAAGCGGTTTCTCTGCACCATGGGTTTTTTCCGTGATGGTACGTCGCCAGAAAAAGGTGCATTTGGATGTGCTGCGCTGCCGGATCGTTCCGAGCATGCCATTGCTGAAAATTGGCAGACGGAGCTACGACAAAGGATCCAGGTGCTGGCCTTAAAGGATTGCATTGGGGCCCTATTCAAGCCTTCTATTCGTGCGAAGCGACGGCATGCACACTTGAATGTTGCTCGTCAGAACTCTTGTTAACCTCACATTAGCGTTGCACATGTCTGGGGCACTGGCGCTCAGCATCCAGGAAGAGGCAAGTGCTGGACCTAGCAGGATCCATCCCTTCAAGGTCGGATAGTCTGTGCCATGCCGAGATGAGCGACTGAGTAACTGGCCAGACACCGGCTGGTATCCTCTTCTTTCAAGCTCTGGATCAACCGCGGCAACCAACTTGCAGTTCTGCGCCAGGGCATAGTCCCAGGTATACATGTAGCCTTAGTTCACTGTTGATCCGACTTGGACCCAGATTCCCCAAACTCTACAATGTAGTTGCGCAGCCACCGCAAGCCATCCCAGGGCAGTCGGGCACAATCTGCCGTGATCTGCATGCCTGGACCAAACACTGACAAGACAAGGGCATACAAGGGCACACAAGCCCTTCCAGCCAAAAACAGTAGAAGTGATTGGCGACCGTTGCCGCATGGTCTGCTTCTGGTGGCTGGTGGCTGGTGGCTGGTGGCTGGTGGCGGGTGGTGGCTGGTGGTGGCTGGTGGCTGGTGGCTGGTGGCTGGTGGCTAGTGGCTGGTGGCTGGTGGCTGGTGGCTGGTGGCTGGTGGTGGCTGGTGGCTGGTGGCTGGTGGCTGGTGGGGGGGTGTGGGGTGGGTGGGTTGGTGGGTGGGTTGGTGGGTGGGTTGGTGGGTGAGTTGGTGGGTGGGTTGGTGGGTGGGTTGGTGTGTGGGTTGGTGGGTGGGTTGGGTTGGGTTGGGGTGGGTGGCGGGTTGGGGTGGCGGGTTGGGGTGGCGGGTTGGGGTGGCGGGTTGTGGTGGCTGTGGTGGGGCTGTGGTGGGGCTGTGGTGGGGCTGTGGTGGGGCTGTGGTGGCTGTGGTGGCTGTGGTGGCTGTGGTGGCTGGGGTGGGTGGATCTGGGTGGCTGGTGGCTGGGGTGGCGGTGGCGGTGGCGGAGAACAGGACATGCAGTTTCAGCCTTCCCAACAAATGCGATGAGCGTGGCATCTGCGACGTCGTCTGCTGGACAAACACCTGTCCAATTGGGGAAGACTTGTGTTGGTTGCATGCAAAAGTTGGGCTCATGCAGGTGTTGACGGACATCCAAGATACATGGTTGCAAGTTGCAACTGGGAGACTCTGAAGCACAGCTTGGATCATAAAGCTCGCGGATGCAGGAGACATGTGGCCGAAGAGGCAGTCTTCAGGGACCTGTTACACAGCCGAAGTTTGATACTTTTGCAAGCTTCGTAACTTGTAACTCGCCAGATCGTTTGCAGCAACAGGACCGATGTGACAGGAGCACAGAACAAGCCTGCTCGAGGAATTCCCACATGTCGAAGTAGCGAACATTTTTCGAAACATACCTAATGTGCCGGTCGTCGCATCGCGCGAGTGACAAACACACACACACACACACACACACACTGCGGGTGATCAATGAACGTTGCAAGGCCTCTCCCCAAACTCGCAGCCGGGGTGCGGTCTGAACTCCCGCTTCATAGCTTGATGAAGGTGGACGTAAACTGTGTTCTGGTACAACTCGCTGCAGTACTCGATCTTGCCCCAGGGACACGGCAGGAGTAAGGCGACAAGCGTTCACTTTCTGAGACTCCGGCCGATGTCACGGTACATCCATGCACAGCAGCTCGCTCAGAGTTGCAGAAGGTCTGTAACCTCTGTGCCATCCTGTATGGAAAAACTCAAAACTGCGAAGATGCAGACGGACAGGCAATCGGAGGTTTAAGTTGAGGTCCTTTGCATTCCTTCCGTGAATACTGCGAGGATGGCTTCAAGGCCCAAGCCCGCAATGCTGGGCCTGGCATTCACACTGCTCTCATGGGCTCGAAGTTCTCCAAGCCTTGCAAATAACAACATAAGAGCATTGACAGCCTGGTGTCGCACCAGTCGAGAGCACAGCCCTTGGAATAACCATACCAAAGGCCCACTCCCACGATCAGAAATATAGGGCTCTGTTTCCAACCTCCTGCAACATGGGGCTACGATCTCTTGCGTTGCAAATCATGCCCTGTGTGGAAGTGTGTACGCTCCTGTTGAAACCATGTCAAGCGCCACCAACCCACTCTCCGCTTCATCCCAGTACTCGGCAATGAGATGGGTCACACGGATCCTGAGTCAACGACGCTTCGCCACGCGCCACGTGCCATGTGTGCCATGTCTACGTAACGCTCTCCAGGCGAGCATCTGGCCAGAGCTGCGGTTGTAGAGAGGCGCCTCTGCCAGTCGAGCATACACCCGAGGCAACTCCACAGCATCGCGTGCATCCGAGTGTGCACCTGTGCGGGAAGCACCGTGTCTCCTACTCAATGGCTCTGACTTCAGACTTCCAAGATCTTGCAAGAGTATGAGCACAGGTTTCACTGCCGAATCTTTGAAGCCTCGGTGGTCTTCGACTTTGTGCCCACCCTCGAAGCCCACCACCTTGTGCCTCGGTCACAGTGTTGGTCCGACACAAATGCCACAAAGGAGTCTTTGCCAGGTCACACGACCCTACCATCTTCGATGACCAGATCAAGAAGGTGCAAGTAGACCCCTCATTGACGAGCATGGAAATGTCAGAGCATCAACATGGTTCGATCGAACAGAGCACAGATTGGTTGCTAGTTCCAACTCCAGAACGGTATGATGTGCTGCATGCAGCACACTGCAGCCATGCTTCCATCTGACACAAAGTCATCCCGCAAGGAGTCCAGGGCACCAGGGGCAAGGAGATTTGCCAGCTGCTGTGTCCACACAGAGGCTTGCGATGCCCCAATCAAGACAACCCAACTACCTGAGTTGGACTCCGACTCCGAAAATTGCAACAACACGGTGACAGCGCTGTGCTTCCCAAGGCCTGCAAGGCAGCGCTCCATGTGCGAAACCTCCCGCACGCCCAGCCGACAAGGGGTCTCCTGCAGCTGGAAATCCCAGGCATCCTCCACCTCACAGTGCTCTTCGACGCTTCGAACGACGCTTCACATCGCGGCACGCTGGCAGTTGGCTCCTGAATCCCACTAAATCCAGACGGAAGGACGGCAGTCTGACAGCGCTTCGGACTTGTTGGTATACCATCCAGAGTTGACATTCGAGATGTGAGTGAGTAAATTAGTGAGTGAGTGCGTGCGCGAGCGTGAGCTGGGTCCGCGCGTGCCACCACCAACCCTTGCTGCCCAAGCGTTCCCATCAGAGATCTTCGGAGAATTTCGATTCTCAGAATTTCGGACAATACGTCCAGAGATGCCTACATCTGCAGACTTGAGTATATTGCAGCGGTAAGGCAGGCCGCGAAAAAAGGTGCTGACAGCGGAGATTGAAACGGGTGTGGCACTTGTAGTATCGACCAGTGCTTGACCAGCTTAGAGTTTAGACTAGTCTAGAGTCTACAGCATTTGCAGGATTGCGGTATCATTTGATGGGTTTTCTTTCAGAAGGGGCGAAACTCTTGAGAGTATCTTGTACGGTCTTGACTCGTTGCACTCGTCTTATTGACGCTGCAGCAGAGATGCCATCTCTCCATTAGCCAGTCTTCCTGCCAAAGCAAAGACATGAGTCGAATGGTACAGCCGTGGACAAGGGCACACGACTTCGTGACTCGGCTCATCCTCGTCGCTCTATAACGCTGCCCCAGGAAGGAACCACGGGCATGCGACCACACACTGGGGGTAGAGGCTTTCCATGTAGTACTGGCACCTGCCGCCCAGTCTTGCGCAGGAGCACCGAACGTTGCTGGCATGGGAGAGGTTGGCGAAGAAGGGTCAGGCACTCACGCGCACGCAATCTCACCGAGAACTGCTCACCTTCGCCTCCATTACAGCGGACATACTCGGCACACAAGTCCCTGTGCCAATGGTGTGGCCGCAAGCTCGGATAACATCCCAGCCTCGCGACACTGAAGTGCAGCACGCCGCTACTGGCAGAAAGCAGGATCAAGTCTAGATTTCTTGAAGCTGGTTTGATCTCCGACAGTAACTAGAAAGGTGTGAATGCCGACAAGTCGCATTCTCTGAAGACTCCGTCTTTCCAGGCAGTATTGCCTGCAAAATCATAAAAGATCCGTCGACCCTAGGTCGGCGCTTGTCTCGCGCGAACACATTCCGTCTCCCCTCTCCTTCTCCTACCTCCGGGTCCCCCCTTTTCCCCATCCTTTCCATCTCCAACAAAACCGGGACACGCCACCCCTTTCTCCGCCATTCCAAGAAATTACCCGCTCCCTGGTAAGGGCCTGAAAGAACAAGCGCTTCACAGCAAGCGCCACAAGCCCTTGGGGGAGTTGAAAGGGGTCGGCCGAATTGAGCGGCAGCCAGTAAGATCACACAACCTTGTCAGTCTTTTGGCAGTCCTGCCTGTTCCAGCCCAGGCAGGGCAATGCTTGTGACGTGAATGGCTGCCGGCTGACTGGGAGACTGCTTTGGCCCAGATAGCTTCACAGGGCTTGTCTCCATCTTTGTCTAAGAGCCAGCCAATCCTTTGATTCTGGGCATTCAAACAGCAACTGGCACTGCTCGTGCAGACTGCACTTTGACGGCGGCAGCATAACTAAGGCTTCGACACACCAGCTACACCTTCAATACATGGCCTCGGAAGCGAGACAGTCTCTCATGTACCTTGGGCAGCTCTGATTCCGTAACAAGCCACTGCGGCAGGTTGCATGCCTCAGTTTGTGTTGGCGGAAAGATCTCTCCGTTTTGAAAGCTTGCGCTCGTCTGAGGCCAAGAGGCTGAGAGACAGGTCACGTAGGCAACCAAAAGTGCAGCACGCACTAGCATGAACCAACGAAGCGAGGGCTCCCGCGTGGCATTGCTTCGACCGAGCCGGCTCCAAAGCGGAAAAAGTGCTATTAAGGCAGAGTTCTGGTATATCCCAAGTGTCTGCTTGAGTTTGAAGGTGTGTGCATTGTACTATCTCACTTCAACAGGTCCTGCTGCGCAGAGCTCGGTTTCAAGCTTCATTCAGTGCTGATGCTGCTCTTGCTCGTTGCCAAATGGCTCGCAAAGACATCTCTTGCCTCAAGGACCACGTACAAGCAACGGGAATTGATTCACGCGCAGCTCCGTAGACATGTTTGCTTCGCCCCTCCCTGGTGATCAAAACCGAGATGTGCTGTCAAGCTGCCTAGACAAGATGCAAATACACATGTTAGAGTCAGCCATGCACATGACAACCCATAGCAGGCATGCATTTTGTTGCTTGCGGATGACATCGCAGGTGCGTTAACAAGGTACTGGCCCTCTGCTGCAGCAAGCACTGCTTCGGCGATGAATCAGTAGTCTTCATACTGTATCGCCTCAGCAAGCAAGGCAGCCTGCAAGCACACAAGTCTGCGGGCATAGGAACACACAGAAGACATTGTCGAGCCAAGATGGTGTGCACAAACACAGGCGCAGGCATTCAAAGAGTTGTCAGCATCTGCAAAGACGGCCCAGCAGTGGGAGCCTGCACACACGTGATGCCGCAGTGACTGACGCCACGCAACAGCAATGAACATGCCAGGGTCCAAGCAGTACAGATCTCCCGGAAGGTTGTTTGCCTTTGAATGTCGGATTGCACAAAGCATACAAACAACACTGGTGCTTCTGAAAGGAAGCAGAGAGTATCGGCCCTGCTCAGTTCGCGGCGATGTGCTGCAACAACACCTTGGCATATTTCGATCAGCTTTTCTGCAGAAATGCATGGCCCTTTGCCCACGAGATTGAGGCCTCAGCACTGTTCAGATGACCAATGCAGTCCTCCCTCTGCGTGCACTGCGGGTGCCCTGCACGTTTCACGGGTTGTGTCGTTCGCGACCTGAGCTTGAAATTTCTGCTTGACTTTTCCTGGTGCGGGCGCAGTGCTGTCCGAGAACCACTTTTGCGGCCCTTGGCTTTGCATTCCCGCCACACCGTTTCCGCCAAAGCTGTGATCGAGAGGTCTTTTTTGGCCTTGACTTGAGGAGCTCGCGAAGGCATTCACTTGACGGTTCCCGCCTTGCGGCTGCCAGTTTTGTCTGGAGGTCGCGAATGACACATCCTGAATAAATCTGTAAGAGATCATCCAACAAACCTGCGACAAAAATGTTTCGGCTCAGATCAAGACAACGTGCAGGATGGTGCGTGCTGGAATACATGCATATATACATACATGCAAGCATGCATACATGAGTTCATTTCATACGTGCATACACGCATACATACATAAACACATAGATACATATGCCATTTCATTCATACATACGTACATACACTGACATACACATTCAAACATCACACATGCATACATTCACGGCCTTCCTACATACATTCATTCATGCATGCATGATTCTGCATGCATCGGTGCAGACATGCATCCATCCATGCATACATCAAATCTTCCGTACATACATCCATACATGCCTAGATCAATACATCCGTGCACCCATGCATCCAAACATCCATTCATCCATCCATCCATCCATCCATATGTCCCTCCATCCATATGTCCCTCCGTCCATTCATCCCTCCATCCATCCGTCCGAGCATCCATGCACCCATACATAAATACAGACATGTACGCATACATGTATATATGCACATTTACGTACTTTTCACGCTCATTTTCCACGGTGCAAAGGCGTCGACTTTACTACGTAAAGGAGGACAGATCCTAAAGATCCGGCTATGTTGTGCACTTTTCGCACATCCTCCACCCAGCCTCGTCCAGGGCACATGTAGATATAATCTGTGCAGTGGAGGTCGAAGATGACGTAGAATTAGAAGCAAGGCTGCTCAGCATCGGCTTGGTAGTCCTGCGTGACGACGGCCGCAGCGATCTGGAAGCGTGGCAGGTCCGCTGACTCCGTGTCCAGGGTCTGTGTCGCTGGAGATCCTGGCTTCAGCTGTCCCCGATCCAGCTTCCGGTATCTCCTCGCCCTCGCTACATGAGCCCTCAGAAAGGCTCCCCGTCCATGGAGCAGACGGATCCTCACCAGACGCCCGAATGATGCGGACATGCAAGAGTCCTGCTGCGCCTAATGCCACCACTGCGCGGGGGTCGGTGGCGGTGTTCCCCGAGGTGGGCCAGCAAGCTCTCGGAAGCAAAGACCTCGTCTTTTGCATCCGAGTCCGACCACCAGCGGGCGGCTCCATCACCTGCACCAGCCATGGCTCGTCCACGACCTCCACACAGTCGAATGCTGTTCGAGCCCGCTGCCGACTAGCATGCGCGAGGAACGCCCATCCCCTTCCTGCCCGTCCGGAGAAAGGGGGACTTTATCCAGAATGGCGACGGATGTTCACAATGCCCGCCATTCCAAGTCATGCTATCACTGTCTCGCACGAACTGGCATCACAGCAGGACTAGCCGATCAAGCGAACGATAGCAGTAGCGAAACTCCGTAGCCGAAACACCTACGAGGATTTCGGTGGGAAGATTAGCCGGGCTAGCACACATAATCGTAACTCGTTCCTCGTCACGAGGTACAACCCTAGGCCCTATGCACATTCGGACCAGCGAAACTCACCCGTCATGTTGATGTGAAGCACACATCGGTTGCCCTGTGGCGAGATTGATGCTGTGTGTGTGCTGCGGTGCACTCTGTGTGTCTGTGTGCTGTTCTGAGCTGCGTTGCTCTGTGATGTGGTGGCTCCGCATCCCTCTCGCATCACTACGGCCGGCCCGATCACACTCATGAGGTCCACTGCTGTCTTTGGCCAGGCAACTCAGTCTTAGCCGTGTATCGCTCAGCTTCCCGATTTGCGCGTGTCATCCAGAGCGCCTTCTCTTCGGCTGCTGCTCCACGACGCTGGAGTCGTCTGCGCAGTGGATATCGCAGCCTTGCAAGATCCTGACAAGGGAGGAATGAGGAGCCGAATTGCTCGAGTCATTAGGGCTACGACGGCTACGAGGTATTGTCAAGTGGCCTGCTACGCTTGAAATTTTCGCCTGCCTTGCCTCTTCACCGGCGCCTTCAGGGATCCTGACGCATGCATGGCCACACCGATCGTGTCAGTCACGCTCTCCACGTCCAACTCGACGATGTCTCCGATCGCACGCTTCAGGACACTGTCCGTCCACCCCAGCACCGCCACCAGCTGCTCTGCCTTGCGATCGCTCAATCTCTCGGCCCTATCCTTGCGCAGCAGCGTGCCAATGTCCCCAGGGCTCACGACCATGTTAATGCAGAGCAGCACGGAAGCTAAGGCGAGTGCAGGGTCGAACGTTTTTCAGACATGAGGGGTCGATAAGCAATGTTTTTACACAGCTTGGCTTTGTATTGGAGCCCCCTGTTGCGTCCACAGTGATTACAGGTACCTGAGCCTGAACTGCGATCCCCTCCATGTCAAGGTCAGTTCGGGGTCTCTTGGCAATTAAAGCCGCAACTGATCCTGCACAGCATTACACAAACCCCGTAACTTCCTACACCCCTCGTAACTCTTCCAGGGGCGCACATCGAGGCCCCGATGTAATGTCCCACCGATGTCGCAAATGCCTGGCAACAAGAAAGTAGTAAGCAAAGTCTGTTAGCATCCATTCCTGCCACAGTCCTATAGCAATCTAGGTCATGCCACGATGTCGACTTTGCAATGAACCTAGAAGCCTGCAGCATGTCATGCGTTGGATGCTTGCAGCATGCAGTCACTTGCACCATGAGAAAGCATTGCAAATCCTACACTCCAAGCACCCGGCAGCATCAACGCAGAAGCCAATCCGAAGAATACGAACCAGCAGGAGACCTCGCGTCGTGGGAATGCCCAGATCCCCCCCCCCCCACAAAAAAAAAACACTGCCACTGCACACATGTCAAGCTCAGGACGCAGCACAGCCACTTGCCATTCGCTTCCAGCTTAGCGATTTCAAGCACTTTATTAATAGCTCTCTTCTCAACCTCCTTCTCATCTTTCCCCTGTGACACTTCTTCGCTATCGGTCTCCATCCTGTACTTAGCGTTTAGATGAAATTTCATCCGCAAATCGAATCACAGAGGCTACTGCACACACCACTCTTTTCACATCGCCAGTGCCGTCCCAGTCTGTAGAACCCGTTACTACGGGAAATGCTTTGGTAAAACATCCGGATGAATGGGGCTAGCAAACCCGGGTCAACTCCGGGTTGCAAGCCCCACCCCGAACCAACACGGTTCGATATCCCCTCCGAATGCAGTCGAGAACACTCTCGCTGCCCACCCTAAGAGAGAGGATAGCCCCACGGGGGATCGTCTCAGTAAAAGGGAGGGAGGGCGGGCAACAAATCCTGCCTTTTTGGCTCAACTGCCAAGGCTTGAACCAAAAGGCATGATATCGATCGCAGATGATACATGTGCACCCAAGCCTGCCAAACTCTACACATGGTATACATCCGCAAATCGAATCACAGAGGCTACTGCACACACCACTCTTTTCACATCGCCAGTGCCGTCCCAGTCTGTAGAACCCGTTACTACGGGAAATGCTTTGGTAAAACACCCGGATGAATGGGGCTAGCAAACCCGGGTCAACTCCGGGTTGCAAGCCCCACCCCGAACCAACACGGTTCGATATCCCAATGCACTGATCCCAAAGCACTTCTACAGAAACTGAAACACCAGCATGGCCGGCACCAGAGGCAGAGACCACACCTCGGTAGGAAAAAGAGCGTGGTGGAGGCAGAAGCCGCGAGAAGCAGCCCACGGGTCCGACGCACCCAATCGACTGATCGAGTCGGACCAGTTGGACTTACTGGGTACCCACTCCCAGTATACCCAAACTTGAAGAGAGAAGAGGGCCACATGAATGAGGTGTGCCAGCCGCTCGAGGTCGGGAGAATCGGAACGCCCTCGAATGAGTGCCATAAGCGCGGCTACGTTGTCAATATACCATGTGCCACGACGAGAACGAAAAGTAGAAGCCCGAGCTGTAAGGGCGAAGAGGACCATTGAAAGCTCGAGCTGCGCGATTTTAACCTCCCCCGGGAGAAAGGCATCATATGTATGCCGATCGACCTGTGCCACGAAGGCTTCGCGGCCGGGCTCGCTGCCCGGCCAGAGCAACAGGAAACCGCCTGTGCCCTTGCGCGATTCGTCCTCCGCGGCATCGCTAGCTGCGACGAATCGGGCACAGGGGGAGGGTAGCACCTCCACGGACCGACGCGGTCGCAGTGCCAAGATGGCTCGGATAACCTCGAATGACGAGCGGATCGCTGGGGTCAACTCCCGAGCTGCCTCGTACTGGCGTTCCTTGAGGGCGCCGATGCCCCCTGTGCCAATCCGGCCATACACCCCCTGTTCGAGAAAATTGAGCATGCCATACAGCTTCGACGCCAAGCCTGGGGGCAGGGAGTTATCCTGCTCAGCCTGCAACAAAAGGCCCTCGACCTTGGCTTGGAGCCTGGACCGGACCCAGAACCTGACGACGTGGTGACACCCCACGTCGCGGAAGTCCCACTCCAGCCCGAGAAAGTCGCCGACTGTGCTCATCGGCTGTCGCTTTGCCTCCGCGAAGGGGGAGCCCAAAAGTTTGTTGACCTCGGAGAAGGCGAACTGGGCTGAGCCCTTCGCAGAAGCGGGGTCGGTAAGGTGCGCATCTTCGAAATACATGGAGACTAGGACACAGACGAGCCGGCGGCCCACCGCCTCGGAGAAACGGCTGAGCCGATTGAAGCTGGTCACTGCCAAGGGGAGCCCAAAGAGGAGGCCGGAATATACCTGGTACGCCGGCTGGGCCCAATCCTTATGGTACCATACCACCACGCAGGCCCTGGACTGGTCCTCGTCCATAGGGCAATGGCGATAGGCGTCCGGCCAGTCTTCGCCGCCGCCTTCCCACTGGTCTTCCTCCAGCAGGCGGCGGGCGACCGCCGGGCTGGCGCATCGCATTGCCAAGGAAACATGCTGGGCCGGGCGGAGGGCGGAGCACAACACCAACTTGTTGGAGTCAGAGCTCAACTCGCTCTGGCCTCCATGGTCCGCGTTGTCGATCACCCTCTGCTTCCCGGAAGCCTGAGAAATCACGCACCTCGGTATCAAACGAATCGGTTTGCCCTTGGTGTGGCGAAGAAGCTCCGACCAGGACAACGGTGCCGAACAAAACCCCGCTTCGAAGTCCTTGGTAGATTGCTCCAACAAAAAGTCATCGTGTGGGCCTGGCCGAATAGATCCTTGGACAGCTTTGTTGTGGGATTCCACGTTCTCGAAAAGACGATGGAGAGGAATTGTGTCGAAGCCCTGCTGCGGGAAGACTCCGCAGGGGAGAGAGGTACCGACCGCGGGCATGCCGAACAAAAGGTGTGAAGGGAGAGTGGTGTCCGGCCAAGACAACAGAACAACAAAGAGACTGAGCAAGCCCAGGTCCCGCTGGGCCGTGACCTTCCGGACCGCCGGAGTCTGGAGCTTACGCAGGTGGTCCCCCACATGGCTCCAACGGCGCTTCAACTCCCGAAGCGGGCCGACACACTCGCGCCTCAACTCGCGAAGGCGGCCAAGAGACCCGACAGTCATCGCTGCCGCAAAGTGGAGGTCTTGGTCCAAGACCGGAGGGTGTTCTGTAGGCAAGGGGTCGTCCCCCCTAGCCAAAGCCTGCCGGAAGTGCTCATCCGGGGACAGGCCGAAGGGGAGGAGGGGGGGAAGCGCCGCCCTCCCCGAAAGCGCCCCCGCTTGCCTGCGGGGAGTAGGGAATAACGTGAGCGACAGAGGCTGGTATCTGGGTGAAGGCGGCCCACGCGGCACTCCATGCCGGGGCTGGCATACCCTGCCAGCTGCCTCCACCGCGGGTTGAGGCCAATTGGTACCACACCAGGCCTGCCAGGATCCCTTTCACACAAGGAGCCCAAGGGGCAATCGCAGACAAGGGTCGCGCCCTGCAAGTCGGGGAGAGAAGTCCAGAAATTGCAAACGATGTGCTCGACAAAGAGATGCATCCACTCGGACGGGGAGCAGTCGTGCCCTGGAGTGTATGGGGAACACCATTTGGTAACTGGCAGCCTGTGTGAATGGTGCCCGCGCCCCACGTACACATGCCCTGGCGGCAAGGACCGGTCGCGTAACTCGACCTCGCCCACGGCTCGCCCAAGCGGGACCAGGCGGTCCATTCCCGGATCATGTCGTAGGCCCAGGAATACAGCCATGGGCTCCACTGCCCAGTCGGCGCGCGATCGGGGGTTAACGTCCACCCAATGCTCGCGCCGACCCACCGGCTCCACAAAAGGCCATCGATGGACCCGCTCGTCCACACCTAGCGGCCCACCAGCTCAGGGAGACTGCCACGGAAAAGGCGAAGCAGGCTGTGGGAACGGGCGGAGACCCTCGCGACCTCTCCCTCCAGGGGTCACTCCCCTGAGGCGGGTGGCGGTGGTGGCACCGAACCGAAGGCCATTGCTGGATCTCGGCCACGTTGTGTCGAAGGAGTCTAGTATGCCTGTGCACGTCGAGAAAGACGCAGGAGTCATACCAGAGATCCACCCAAACTGCTAAAGGACTGCTGGCCGAGCCTGTTTCTGGAGGAACCCCCTCCTGAACAACGGCAGCCCCCCTGGAGGCACAGCCTTGCAACAGCTGCTCGAAGGAGTCCGGCGAGATAGGCGGAGGCGCGGCCAGCCCCGTCCAAATGCAATCGGCCTCTTGGGTCAAGCGATCGGCGGCCAAGACTTTCCAACCGCAGCACTGACAAGCCCGGCCCAGAGTGATGTCTTCGCGGTGAAGCATCACCAGGCAAGGGGTCAACTCCCCTGCGAAGGGGGAGTCCGCGACCCCGGGCTCAGCATCCCCCACTCCTGGGCCAGGGCCCCATCACGAACTCCTCGCTTTCGCCTTGGCCTTGCACTTCGCTGCCCCATGGTTGGGCGCACCACAGACGCGCTCGGCCCGGAGAACCACGGCGCAGCGATGGGCCCCATTCGGGCACGGAGGTGCGTGCTTGCAGGACCCTTTCTGGTAGTCACCGCAAAGCTTGGTGCCATCTTTCATCACACGGGCTGTGGGCATACCTCCCACCATGGGTCCCGGGACGAACAAGGAAGACTTGGTTGGCTCAGCGATCACTGGCTGGGGCTTCGGAGCGACTGGCCCTCCCTCCGGCAGCGCTGGCGCCAACCAGTGGGCGTCACGTGCTTCCATAACCTCTTTAATAACTGCTCCGAGCATCCGGGTCCCCTCCCGGAACCGCGAGACCCACTCAGCTCGCTCCTCGGCATCCCGATGCTGAAGCCAGCTCAGCCGCTGCGCGGGAGCGACTTGCATGGCGGCCTTACGGGCCCGGTAGTAGTATGCCAGCACACAATCCAAAGGCACCTCGACGAACTGGCAAGAGTTGGCGCCCAGCGCTTTCTCTCCCGCCGGGTCCACTCCCGCGATCACCTGCACCCCGTTGAGCGCGTATGCGATCATAAGCGTGTGGAGCTTGTGAAGATATGTGTCCACATCCCGAGCGACGACCTCGTCGACTTCAGGCTCATCGGTATAGAGGCCATCAGCCAGCTTGCGCCGCTTTTGTGAGGTGCCTAACTGGAATTGTAGGGATCGCACTCGCCATACGTCATATATACAAAGCATCCTTTTGGAAAGTTCCCGAGAGATGCGGGAGACTGTTGCGTCGGAGGGTTGCACTTCGGCAGGAAAGCGCAACTTGTAGCGAATCCAAAAGGCTTCCTTCAGCGTGCGAAGTTCGGAGTCTGCCAAAATCGAGTCGAGGTCGGCCAAGGCAACCTTAGAGCGGTCTTGCTCCGCCTGGGTGTAGTAAGTGCATGTTGCCTTCCACGCCCTACGGAGGCGGGCGGTCTGCAACATAGTGGCGTCCCCTAGCCCCAACTTCCCCACCCAGGTACCTATCGCCGCCTCGTTCTCGAATAAGAAGCGAAACTCCTCGAGGTGGCGAATCCCAGTGCCGAGCACTTCTGCGACCACCTTGGCGTCCAAACCGAAATTCATCTACAGGCTATCCATGCTCGCCTTAATGTCCTGCTCCACTCGAGGGACAAGCGAAACTGACGACATGGGGCCTACGTCGAGGTCGACCCCCCGAAGAGCCTGCACGAGGGTCAAACTCCCAGCCTATCGCCAGACTCCGCGATCCCCTCGGTCAGCTCCGAGGTTGCGGTACCTTCGAGCAAGGCGAGGACCAACTGACCGGACCGAGAAAAGAGAGAGAGAGGGGAAAGAGAGAGCAGCAAGCAGCAAGCAGGGAAAAGAGGGTGGGGGCTAGGGACAAGGTGCAGGCACTCAGTCACGACTGCATCACCACAGCCACTGCTCCTACACTCCGCGCCCGCAACCCTCTTTTTCTCGCTCCTCTTGCTAAGATACGGTACCAGCCACGGCGGGCACACGGGCTCTTATGCGGCACCCGCAAAATAGATTTGCTGGTGGCGAACTGGTCGACTTCGAATTACCGGCATATCGTGGCGAAAGCCTCGCTTCGTCGAGGTGCCTATACCGGAAAATACTTGGAGGATGCTCGTGAAAAGCAGCCCTCGCAGATGGGTCGCTCCCATCCGATGGCCTCTAGCTTGCTAGTCGTGCGCTGCGGGTTGGCCAACCGGCGCCTCTCAATACCCTGCTTGTGCTTGCAGATAGGAACGCCTTCCTCCGGGGACTCGAGGTGGAGGTGCGAGCTCGCAGTGGCGATATATCCGCGTGGCTGCACAGGTGTTGGGGGGACACGTGTGTTACGCACGGCCCCGGCCAACCACGAACCCAGGCTGCGGTCTTGCTGGATAGCGCGATCCACCTCGATCTGTCTCACCCTCAGGATCGCCTGGTTCGCCTCCTCCTGGGTCTCGCCTGCCAACACCGCCCGGCATGCGACGCCGGTAGTCGCGGCTCTGTGCCGGCCCGCCAAACAGTGGAGTAATACGTTGTGGCCCGCCAAGAGCGTGCGTGCGATTGCACTCAAGATGCGGAGCCACTCTTCCTCCCGGGACCGCCTGGCCGAGACGTTGAACAGCAGGTTCCGGGCTGCACAGGGCTATGCCGCCCCGTTGTTCCGGGGTTTGATCCATACAAGTAATCTGCAAATGGATCGTCGGGAATTGGCCACTGGTTTCCCGCAGCGGCAAGCCGGACAGGAAAAGACGCCCTCCTGCCGGCGATTCCCAAATACAGGTAGGGCGCTGGACTGGGCGCCTGCCCGCCAAATTGTCGAAGACCGCCTGGTTCTCAGCCTCTGTGGGGTCCGGCGCCGGCGGGGTCCTGAAGGCCTTGGGCATAGCTTTGATCTTCGGGGCAGGGGAGCTGCCCGAGCCCCGAGCCGTGGAGCCTGAAGCTGCTGCCGTGTCAACCGGCGTGCTGGAGCCGGTGACTCGCGCCGGGGACCCACAGTAACGCCCCGGGAGGCGAAGCTAGGGGAAGCGGGGGAGCCACGTCACCACCTGGCGCCACCTTCTGGAGTCTCGCCGGCCGCTGCCGCTCCGGCTTGGGCTGCCTCGTGTGCGAAAGCCAGAGCCTTGCCCTCGTCCACTCGCTCGCGGACTTCGCGCCATTTGGCTGCGATTTCTGCTCCAGCTTGCCTCTGTGCCTCTTCCGCCGACATAAAGACGTAGGCGAACTCCTCGTCGTCGGCCAGGCCAAAGGCGCGGCGCCAAGCCTCCACTCGGACCTCTACCGGGGTACCCTCCCCGAAGAGTCCGGAAGACGGGCCGGGCTGGCTATCGCCATCTCCTGCCGCCTCAAGCGACTGCTGGGCATACACACCGGCCATAGCAGAGGCCTGAGCCGAGAAGCCGCCGTGGAAGATGATCGCGAAGGCCGGGCAACGGCAGAAGCAGAGCAGGAGTGCGACTCAAGACCGGGCGGGTCGCCACCGCCGAAGACAGCCCCAGGTCCACTCCTGGTTGCAGCCCTAGTCCTAGGGATATGGGGGGTTGCCACCCCGGTATAAAAATATGCCTGCGGTCTCCGCCGCGGCCGCCGGCTCCTGCCGGTCATAATAAAGGGAACGCCCCTTCCAGAATCGCCCATCATCACAGGCACCGAATGCAGCGGTCCAGGCAGTCTCCACAAGCCGCTGCGTCACACCGCCGACAGCGGAAGACCGTTGGCACCCCGCAGCTGTGGCAGGCTGCTGGCAATAGTCCCGGCCCGTAAGCCACGGCCCCAAGCCACAGCCAGATGGTCCTATGCGCCCGTGATCTTTCATCCTCCCGGGCAGCCTCCCAAGAAGGGACCTCGACTCCGGGCTCGATCCACACCCTCCTCCCAGCTTGCCACCGTCGGAAAACGATCCAGAGCTCGGCTGAGCTGGCTGCCCGAGGGTGGGTCTGTTCTGCCACCCGAGAAAAGAGCGCGTAGAGGTGGTTCGGCAGCAAGTCGGTAGGCCAAAGGCCCGAATGAAGGGCCGTGATGTCGCCCGGCGACAAATAGGAGCGGCATGCATGGTAAGCACTCCACGCTTGAGCCGGGTCACTCCCTGGGCGGACAATCGCTGCTGCATGTGTGAATGTACCCACAAAAGGCAGCTGGAACCCTCCACGGCTCTGGGCGCACCGGGCACAGTCCATGACGACACACGGGACCGTGCGGATAGGTGGCAGACCTGCAGGTAATCCGTCGAGCAGTGGAGGGGGAGGAGGGTAATGTTGGATCTCGAGGGCTGATGCCCACAGCCTGGCTGCATCCACATTCCGACCCTCGGAAACCAAAAACCGAAGCTGAGCCCTGAGATCCAGCATAGCCGCTGGGTGCAACACCTGGGCCTCGGTATGCACCGCGAAGCGGCTGATAACGTAGGCAAGGACCTGGACCTCAGGTGACTCCTGATCAAAGACATGTGCCATAATAAGCGGGTCGACTCCGCGAGCTAATGGCAACAAATCCTGCCTTTTTGGCTCAACTGCCAAGGCTTGAACCAAAAGGCATGATATCGATCGCAGATGATACATGTGCACCCAAGCCTGCCAAACTCTACACATGGTATAACCACCCACTTTACTCTCCAACTCCGACGACAAGACTCTGAGAGCAAGTGCCGTGCAAGCGGAGCGGGCATCAAGCGAACACAAAAACTCATCCACTGGAAACAAATAAGGTTCAGGGTATAGGGTTTGGGGACACAGCCATTTGCAGCAATCTCAACCAGATCGCTAATTCCATTCGCCCATCCAATTGAGCGATCAGTCTGTACTTAGCATTTAAATGAAATTTACCACGCAATTTACTTTCCAATTCCGAAGACACAAACAAGTTACTTTCTAAACCTCAAACCCTAAATCGTTGCATAATCCTAGACCGAAAACCTAAACCCTACGAGCCTCTGTTTCAACGATACGATGACACATCTGCTGCAAAACAAACATAAGACCCGGCCGCGCCCGCTCACATTCGGCTGAATCATGCCTCACGGAGGCAGGCCACCGCATCTCCTACACGCAGTCCGATGATCCACCAAAGCCTGCCGACATCCACAACGCCTTCTTTAGCATCCCCACACTACAGCAGATATGCGCGGCTCACAATTCCAGCTCCTTTGTTCATATGGACACCACTCCTCTTTTGAGGACAGCGCATCCCTACTCGCAGAATCGAGAGAATTGGAGGCGCCTGGTACACAAACCAGCTCCTAAAATTTTCCTACGTGCAGACGAAAAGTCTGAGCACAGAAGCCTAGCCAATGAAATGGAATCAAGACATAGAATCGTGTATCTTAGCATCAAAAACGTGAAACATACGGAGTACCATCTAAATTTTAAACAATTAAACTTCCTGTGACATGAAGATACATATAACGGGAATATCATGAAGCTTGTATCTATTGTGTGCCTGTAATACGTCTTATTCATGTCCGAAAGACTGATAAGTGCAGCTGGGCCGCTTGCCTGAAGGTCGTGGTGCTGCTCCATGCATAAGAACTTTCGGTGAAGAAAATTCGGTGATGTATGGCGACACGGTTTTCCGATATTGGTATTTGCTAACTGCTTTGACTTAACTATGTTGTGGCTTTGTAGCAAATATTCCCTGTCTTGTTGCATGTGACAATGGCATATGCAATGCGATTGCAAACCTCTCAGTGATTATACACCGGTATTGAGCCTAAGTATGTGGCTTCATGTTTGCGCGGAACAAGTGACCCATTCATACATTGAACACTGCATGTGCCTTGATTCAGGGTAAGGTTAATGCATTTATCGTAGTTCAGGCTCATGTTATAGTACCTTGGTCAGCTTGAATTGCGTGTAGCAGCTTGTTTATTGTATGAGTATGGGTTCCAAAAAGTAGCATGTCGTCTGCATATAAAACTTCTGAGAACTCTATTCCAGGTAAGGGCTCTCTCTGCTTTGGAGTGTTTTGGTAGGCTTTAAGATCCTTGAACATTGCAGACATTAGTAACGTAAATAAAAATGGTGAGAGGGGGCAACCTTGACGAATCCCAGACTCCTGCGATTTGTATTCTGAGCATTGGCTGTCCATTTTGATCCTGAACTGTGGATCTTGGTACATGTCAGCAATCAGCTGAAACATATTGGAGGGCAATTTTAATCTGCGTAGAACCTGTAAAAGCTTTGTTTGGTTCACTTTGTCGAAAGCTTTATCCCAATCTAACAGAAGACGTGCCAGGTTTGCATGTTGTCTTTTTGGCTAGATCCCATAATCTTCTTGCTATGACAATAGTTTGTGTTGTTGACTTCTTGGGGCGAAACCCGTACTGTGTTTTTTGAACCCATGGGTCGTATGCATGTAGTAGTCGAGTTCTTATCATACCTGCTAGTATTTTGTAGAACACTTGCAATCATGCAATTGGCCTGATATTTTGCATTTGCGTGGCATCTCCTTTCTTGTAAATGGCTACTAAATTGGCCGTTTTAAAAGACTCCGGGAGTTCGTGGCTTTGAATCATGTCGTTGTATAACGATAGCAAAGAATCTCGATTTGTAACAGAAAGCCATTTCACTAGCTCTGCTCGGCATCCATCTGGTCCTGGAGTTTTGCTGTTTTTGGGGCATCTATTGTCTTGTCAAGCTCCGGTAAAATGAAAAGTTCGTCATTCATATTGCTTGTACCTTCTATAAGTGGAGTTGCCTCTTTTTCTGGATCTAGATCATTCTCTTCCGGTTGGGCCCACTGTACCTCGGCAAAATATTCCGCTGCCGTTGATGGAAAATCCTTTCCTTTGATGAGCTCACCATGCTTGTTTTTGAATTTGCATCCTTTGGGTTGGAAGGTCTTTCTTGCTTTCTTCAGGCCATCCCATTTGTATCCTTCCCGTGTGGTTTTTTCAAATTCCTGTAATAGCACCCATTCTTTGTCTTTTTTCCTTTGCAAACAAATGTTCTTAGTTAAGTCTCGGGCCGTTATGGGATCATGTTCTTCGATCGCCTTCTGTTTGGCCTCGATTAAATTCCAAGTGGCTTCGGAAAGATAGGATTTCTTCTGTTCAGCTGGCACACGCGTGAAGTATTTATCCGCCGATGCGATGCGTATATCAGCAAGAGTGTCAAAAGCTTTTTGTGACCCGCATTGGCCCCGGCCCTTCACTCATCTCACGATAGAGCTGGTCGAAAAGGCAGGCCAGGGGCCGGCAAAACTGGACGGAGTGCATAGCCTTGCCGACCACTGAGAGCAACTCCTGTGATCCGCGGGGCTCGCCTGGCTCAGCACAGAGTATCCGAAGGGTGGCCCCAAGGACCGCCCAACGGAGTTTCCGCGCCGATCCAACAAGCCCGCGGTCACCCAACTGTTCCGCTCCCAACGAGCTCCAAACCAGCGTTCCTTCCGCCGCCTTCTTGGGGTCCCGGCCCACACTCCAAACCTTGAACACTTCTCGTAGCTGGAGCTGAGCATCCGAGGGCCGGCCTTCATAAATTCCGGCGTCACAAGCCGCGACCACCTTGAAGCCATCATAATTGTCAACATAGAAGCTGTGGTAGTCCCGGGGCGTGCTGAGGGGCATCAAAGGCGCAGGCTCGCCCATTCGCACCACACGTTCAGCAGGCACCCCGGCCAACGACCCAAACCTTTCCAGGGAGCTCTGGATAAAGTCCACGATGTTCGACCACCCCATGGGGGCACTCTTCACGCGCGGTCGGCTGTGCAGGCTTCCTTTTCCATCGTTGAAGCAGCTGCTCGCCGCCACCTTCCCAATCACAAAGTACCCGCGCCACTTTGGCGATGGCGCGAAAATGTGAAAGCAGTGGCGAACATCCTCGGCATAGCAAAGTATCACCTCGTCCTCCAGTAGGGCAATTTGCCCCCAGATCGGGGAGTAGCCCATGTGGGCTGAAGGCTGTCCCGGCACCCGGGACTGCACTTGGTTGCTCGGGATCAAATTGATGATCAGCCTGAGGGTCCTCAGCCAAGTCCCGTCAGCCTGCTCCTGCCATCCTTTGTGCACACCAAACATCCCATTGTAGACGGGCTCCCCTCTGATCCGCAAAGTTTCCTCCGGCACTTCTCGCTCGAGCATACCAGCCTCCACCAAATGCGACACGATCAAGTCGTACTCCTCGCGGCTTTCCACCAGAACCGAAGCTGATGTCACAGCCTCGCCCAGCTCCTGGTCCGGTATCCTAAGGAGCTCGGGGTCCTCGACATAGGGCCGCAAAGCTGGATCCACCGTTTCTGCAAGGGAGATCCTACCAGCCTCCCCGGGCTCAGGCACATGCGGCGCAATCGCCGCCCAGGAAAGCTTGTAGGCCTTCTGCACCTCTCGCCCAGCATACATGTCACCCAGTGACTGCCGCAGGCTCTCCCAGGACCCAATCTCGATTGTCTCCTTGCCCTCGACGAAGAGCTCAGCATAGCCCCGGAGCCGCTCGCCCGTAACCTTCTGGGCTGCAGTCCAGCTTGCTGGGTGCAGCAGCCCTTGACCCAGGATGTGGTTGGACCCAGCCCACAAGTGATTCAGCAGTGCCACCTGGAGCCAGGTCCAAGCCTCCACTCCAACAAGGGAGGTTTGCTCGACGATCTCCAGCCAGGTCTCCGATGGGAGGTCATGTGCGCCCCAAGCTTCCAGCATCACCTTCATCACCCGAACCATCTCAGGGCTCTCCTTGGGAAGCGCCATTGGAAGAAGCTCGACCGGCGACTGCTTGAAGTGCTCTTTAGCGCAGCAGGGCAGCACTCGAATGAATGTGCCCAGTGGCCCCGGCCTTGCTCTCAGCCCCAGGCTGAGCACAACACCGAGGAAAGAAGCAGGCGCCGTGGGCCGCCCCAGCAGCCAGAAACCAAGCCACTTCTTCCAAACAGCCTCGTTCCAGACCGGCTGCGCTTCTTGCCCAAGGACATAAGTGCTGATTGCTCCATAGGCTGCATCCTCTTCACCTTGGTGCACATAGAGGGCCCTTCCATCCAGAGCCTCTTTGACCTGCCCCACCACTAGCTGCTCGTAGTAGGGCTCCTGGAAGACAGAGCATGGGAGCCCATTACCCCCGCGGCCAACGTAGATTCCTCCATCTGATCCACGCCACCCAGGGTAATACTCGCGGACCTCAACGCCATTGTGCCGGCCCAGCAACCGCCCAGAAGCTTCCATATCACTGTCTGTGGCCGGCACCCCAAGACCAAACAGCTCTGCAAAGGCCTTTGACACCTGAGGACCATCCTGCTCGGCCAGCACACCAAACTTTTGCGAAAGGATCTCCAAGAGGGTCTCCGACGGGAGGTCAATGTTATCTATAACAATCCCTGCAAAGTGGTAGGCAGCCTCCTCCTCGGTCTTTGGGGTCGCCACACGTGACATGACCTCCTTGTAAAACGCCGCCACCTTTGCATTCGCCAGGTGCCCGTCGATCTGAGCCCGCTGCTCCCCAATCTCCTCCGGCATTGAGTCCAGGACCCGTTTCAGGATAGGAATCTCAAGCGGCTCCAGCCGGACCCGAGGGCCAGCCGTCGCCTGTTGAGACCCCTCTCCCTCGAGGTCTACTTCCACCGGGCCTTGCCCTTCTTGCCCTTGCCCTTTCCTTTTGCGCCGCGACCTTTCGGCCGGTTGTCCGGAGCCTTGTCGTTGTTGCCGTCGGCCGCCTTCTCGCCGGCTCCTTGAGCGCCCTCGTCGGCCGCAGTCTCGGTCCACCACGATCGCCCCTCCCATCGGGGCGTTCTCCGCGGCCCTTGTCTGAGGGACCAGTCGGTCCGGACCTCCTGCTGAGCTGCCTTCAGCTCCTGCTGGAACATCGCCGACCATTCCCCCGTCTTCACCAACTCCAGCTGCTCGGCCTGTGTCCAGTTGCCCTGTAAGTGGGCCAGCTCGATCGCCTTGAGCCGCTGCACCAAGATGTCGAGTGCTCTCAGGGGGTCGTTCTCGGCGACCGCGTCGATCACCGCCACGATTGTCGACAGCTCCTTGAAGTTCCTCGCCCCTATCTCGATCGCCGGGTGCGCCGTGAGGTAGATCAGCTGGAAGTATCCTCGCGCCACTGCTGGCAGCTTGGCCCTTTCGCTGGTGGCCATCACCCCTCCGTGGGCCTGGGCGAGGAGCTCCGAGCACCGCTGCAGAGTCAGCGACGCCAGACGCCCGGGGTGCCGTCGGTGCATCTCCCGGATCTTCTCCACGCCTTTCGGAAGGGCGGCCAACTGAAAAGACGAGTCGTCCGACTCGCCCTCATCGCTGGAAGAGCTCCTCCTCTTCCTCTTCTTCTCCTTTGAGCTGCTCCCACGGGTCAGCTCCAAGGCCGACCGCTCTCGGCGCCCGGCTGGGCTTCTTTTGCTGATCTCCGCCAGCAGCTCATCCTTCGTCTCGCCCTTCTCCTTCTTCTCCTTTTCCTTCTTCTTTTGCTCGGCCGCCTCATTGGTGGCGCCCTGCCCTGGCGCACCCAAGGCCTCTGCCAGCCCAGCCACACCTGGCAAGCCAGTCTGCACTCCCAAGGCCGCAGGATCAGCATTGGGATCGGGCGGAGCTCCACCCAACCCCGGCGCTTCCCCCACAAGCCCCGGGTGTGCTCCGGCCCTGGCCTTGTCTTCCTCAGTAAGCCACCCAACCTGCAGCACCTGGTCCATCCCCAGCAGCCGGAAGACATCCACATGGATTGGGTGCCGGTACATGGTGTTTTCTCTGCAGCTGGATTGGGGGCTCCCACAAAAGTGCAAAGGAACGATCCGGTCGAGGGTGTAGGCCCCATAGGTCTGCTCCACCCAGTAGTCGTAGTAGCCGTCCTGGATCGCCACCACGTGGCCCTCAAAGACCCGGCCTGTCTTCATCTGCCGGTCATCTCCTGCTTCCACCAGGTAAGCAACCACGTGCCCCTGCTGCCGGCCTCTGTTGTCATACCCAGGGAACTCCACCCAGGCACCCTTCTCCAGCCCATCGAAGTGGGACTCACGCGCCCGGGCCCCCGTTCGCCGCCAGCTAGGCATGCGGCTCGCCATTGGCCCCTCGGGCACTCTACGGAGCTGCTGGGTGCTTCCCGTGGGATTTACCCTGCACTCCCCTCAAGAAGCGCAAGCACCCACGCAGCTCCCAGCTTCTCACTTCAACAAAGCCTTACCCAGGCCGAAACTGCGTGACACGGGGAGTCGCACTATCGAACAGGGGACTGCTTTCTGTCACCATGGAAACCCAATATAAGGTCTAATGGCAGGGGTAGTGATAGGGAGACTGTTGTTTAGGAACAGGAGTCAACCAAGGCTCACGGTCACTCATACGTATTGCTGGGGCTTTGCTCTGAGACTGCAGTGAAGGCTATTTTGGGGTTGCTACTCGTGGCCATATCTATTTTCGAGTATTCAAACGGAAACTGTCTTCGTTTATCATCTCTCGGAGTATCTGCGCGAAGCGTCGCAAAGAATTGAAAATGAAGAAGGCTGCCGTCATGCATATGCTCTCCCCTCGGAACTTCAAAATTAGATCATACACCAGAAGCCCAAACATTGGAAGATTGGTGGCGGTATCGCGGCACCTCGCGGCAGTTCATGGGGGGGGTGAGCATACTTTTTGTTGATTTTAATTTACGGTTTCATTTATAATATACACATATACGTATGTTATACATTTATGCTTTCATGTGTTCATGTAGTTGTTCACATAAATGCAGACATGCATGCGTGCATGCATACATACAGTGACGTACATTACATACATTACATGCATACATATATTGACATACATACTCGCATACATGCATACATCCGTACATGCATGCACACATACATTCACACAGGCAGACATCCAGCCATGCGGACATCCATCCATGCCTACATTCATTGACGTGCAAGGTGCAATGGCATGTATTGACATACTTTGACATTCATTGACAGACATTGACATACACTGACATACATTGACATACACTGGCATATACTGACAAACATGACAAACATCCGTGCATGCATGAACTGGCAAAGCGTAACGAACCGATCCGTTATGAATTGAGTCCTTGTGCTTACTTGCCGAGAACGACGCCGCTGCTTGCTTGGGCCAATCGGACTGAACAGCTTTGCTTCTGCCTGGCTGGAGAAAATCTTCTCAGGACCTCTGTGCGGAAGGCAACAGCACCTCTCCCAATGGAAGGTGGCGGAAGCTCAAGACGTCCCGAGTACACGTCCTGCGATCAGAGGGAGGTATGGAAAAGCACTCCACGAAAGACGGCTGTCCCAATTCCTCGACGACGGAGTCTATCAGCATCGTGCTCTCTGGCGGCGCTCCTAAATTGCCGGAACGCGACGGTCCCTGCCAATGTCATGAGTTTTGGGCCTGACTCCTTCGTCAGTTGGAGGGGCAATGCGCCGGCCTTCGAGTTACAAGAAAAGAAATGGCTAGTCGGGAGATGCGTTCGACCCGGAACCACCTCCAGCAGCTCGTGGAAAATCTCTTTACAAAGCTCTGGCCTCAAGAGCAAAAAATCCGCTGAGAGAGAAGCAGCACTGCTGACAGGCCAACGGTGGTTCTGACGCGTCACGCACCCTCTGGACTACATTTATGACACCCGGTACCCTGCAAGTGCTTGGATTCCAGGAAATATTTATTTCGTGAGTTTGAGTGTGAGGTTGAGTGTGAGGTTGAGTGTGAGCGAAAGTGTGAGCATGCATTTCCAGCCCATCGGGAAGTGTGAGGTTGAGTGTGAGGTTGAGTGTGAGCGAAAGTGTGACCATGAATGGGCCACTCACACTCCGGATCCCGCTCACACTCCCTCTCACACTCCCGCCCACACTCCCTCTCACACTCACACTCCCGCTCACACTCAAGCTCACACTCCCGCTCGCACTCAAGCTCACACTTCCGCTCGCACTCAGAATCCCCGCTCACACTCAGCCTCACACTTCCGCTCACACTCTCGCTAACACAAAACCTCACACAAATAATGTTTTCAGACCATCCCAAGGGTTGCAGGGACTGGGTCTCATAAGACTACATCTACTCGAAGATCCAACCTGCTACCAGCTACAACTCCGTTGTTTTTCACCAGTCAGTCAGGTCCGTGAGGTACTGAAAGAGCCACACAACTGAGCCCAACACGACAGTTGCTCACCGAGCATCGCAGGGCTGGCAGCGCCTCACACGATTTTGCTGGTGCCACGCCTGGTGCATCTGTGCATCTCCTCTCTGACCTTTCGGCCGGCCTTGCTGCAGCTCCCGCAAAGAGGCAGTGACCCAGGCGTGAATAAAGTCTCCCGCCTCAACGACGAGATTCTATGAATTAATTTTCACCTTTTCGCCCAAGACTTGGGCTGGACTTGACCCGTCTCCGCCGGACAAAGCAGCTTCTTTTCTGCCTGCCTGACAACAGCCGGAACGGCAAGACCGCACCCACAATCAAGACAGTTTGCATCTGGCCTCAAAGGCGTTGTAGATCTTGTTCTTCAGCGGCTTGTCTTGAATCTGCGCCGATCATGATTGCCAGTTGCGACTCCAAGCCTTCCTTTACTCCCCCAAACCATGTTAGTTTGCACGCCTTTTCAAAAAGGATGTCCCAGAGCATGGGAGCAAATCGCTGCTCCTTCGAGACGTTTCAATAATTCAACGGGGCACAGGCTTCAGGGACGGATTCACTAAGACCGTTCGAACGAAATCCATCGGCGGGTGAGGTAGAACGGAGCAAGTGGAAGTGGAGTGGAATCGCATGACTGAATTGGCATCCATGCTGACTCACATCCGGTCGTGCAAACGATGCAGGCACGGAGGCATGGATGAAACAAGCAGAGCATCCACACCTTGCCAACAGGCAGAAGCAGGGAGCAACACGTGGTTGCAAAAGCCGACTTTCCGGAGCTGGGCCTCGAAAGCACGGTCGTGCGCGTGAAGAACCTGCAGCGGCACACATCCAACTGTTTGCAAACTTCGGCCGTTGCCGACTTGCCGGCCTGGCTCTCGAAAGTCAGCTGTGGCACCTTTTACTTTTGCTCACTTCCACGACAGCCACACACGACGACGGCCACGTTAGAACCGGGAAAGGCTCACAGGCCCACTGAGGACATGGCGTTCTTAAGCAGCTGCTTCGGAAAAAGCTCTTTCACTGCCGCATCAATGACCTTGAAGCCACAAGGAGATGGGCTGCCGAAACCTATCACAGCGTCCAAGTGGCCATGAGAAAGTCCACTTCGACTAGCCAGGGGCGATCCTTCAGCGCCTGCTTTGCTCTGCGCTTATGTTGGACCGGTGAAAAGTTGCACGAAGCCTTTGTGCCTGAAACAGCGAGGCAAAGACTGTGTCCGAGTATTCCTCGATCAGTGCGGTCCTCGAGCGCCAGTGCCGCTTCGAAAGCTTCGGATAGAGTAGGGCACAGATGGCACAGCAATGCAAGGACATTTTTTGAGAGCGTGACCACGTCTTCGAGTAGAACTCGAGACCCTTCGCCGCATTTCTAAAGTATTGCTTCACCCTCCATGGCGGCACAAAAGACATTAGCAAGCTCTCTGATTCCCACATATGTGATTTCGAATTACTTCCGCCTCTTCTCCAATTTTGCCTGATCCCACTCCGTTTCTTTCGAAAGTATCGGCGATAGGGCCTGCAACAATTCTCAGTCAGTTCAGGGCACCGGTAGAATGCAATGTCATACATTCAGCATGTAGGTAATGTTGGGCTGCTTCCCATGCGCCTGGCTCACGGCAATGGAGATTTGGTCCTGCACGCCCGAAGCAACGTACATCTTAAGCATGTACACAAGGCCTCTGACAATCTAGAGAATATGCCGGCAGCCCCTCTGCATGAAACGGGAACACGCAAGTCCTCCTGCCAGTCGCCATAGCCGCTGCCACCGCCAGGACCATAGCTCTTCCACCTGCAGAGAAGAGACGGTGAAGAGACGCGAAGCATAGGCTAAAGTGCGAGCGTCGGCCTCGGTGGCATCGCCCGGCTCTCGACGGGCTCTACTTGGGCCACATCGGAGAAGCTTCTTGATCGTGATCGTCCGTGCCTGCGCATCCTTAACAAAATCTCGCCCTGCTTTTCTGCAAGATGCTTCCTGCACACCAGGAACGCCCCCGGTGCTGCTACACATCATGAGAATTCAGCCACGAATGGGACTGTAAACGAAGCGGGTGGTCACACTTCCAAAGTTCTTCTCGCTCGGAGAGGACGGCTCCGGCAATAAATATGCCACCTGCACTGCCTGAAGAAGTCTTCCTCGGGACTTGTCAAACTCGCCGATGTCCCGCAGGTCCAGCTGCAGCTGCTCGGAGCCCTCTGTCTTCGCCTCTTTCCAAATGGTAACGATGCGAACCGCTGCCGACAGCTTATCCTGATCCAGTGGGCGGAGCTCAAAGAGTTCGGAGACGCGCAACCCTCCAGGGATCTCTGGATCAGCCCGTGCGACTGCACCAGCTGCTTGCAGCTTCCATCGCCCGGCCACCTCCCAGAGCCCCTCTGTCTCCGTTTTCTTAAGCCTTGGCGCTGGACCTCCCACTGCATAGGCAGCTGCTGCAGCGCCAGCAGGAACACCCCCTCTGTCTTCCTCTGCGCCGGCCCCACCTTCCGGAGAGACTCGTTCAGTGGCCATCCAGCGCCTGCGTGCTCGGAACACGCCGGCTTCCATACCGACCTCGGAGGTGTTTCGGACTGCGCTCTGCGAGCACTGGGCTAGTTCTCGGAAGAGCTCGGAAGCTAGGTTTGAAACTGCACCGTTATTCTTCCGCATGGCAGCTGGAGTTCCTGGCCTCAGGAATGCCGTAAGTGGTCCTAGACTGCCAGAGCGTCGCACGGCCGAAACCGCCAGGGGCCGCGGCAAGGCTGCAGACAAGGCGTTTTCGCCCAATGGCCCTGTCTCGACCTTGTACCTGCCAGAAGTAAGACCGTACAGGCATCATGGAATTCCCCGTCGCATACAACTCGAATCAATATCCCAGATAGCAGTATCTTGACAACTCGCCGAGTCGCAACTCGCCCACTGTTGCCCAGGTCCCAACAAACCATCGAGGATAAACAAGCTCGTCACCTGCTTCTGCCATCCACCAAGTCTTTTTGTTGACTCTGCTCCGCTCAATGACCAAGTCTCAGACCGATCAACCCAACAGACACCGGTGAGGCTGCGGTCTGAACCCGGTCCTCGCGAAAGAGCAGCGACTCGCCGCGTAATCGCGTTGAGGGCGTTTCTTGTTGCCCAACCCAGTCAAGCCGTGCAGAATGAATCTCCGAGCCCATCGTAAACAAGAAAGGACGAGGCGTTTACGGAAACCTGAACACAACTCTGCAGCCCAAACAACACTACACCGCTGGAGCGGATCTTGCATCTTCTCTCCTCGGCTACTGCATGGGATGTTGGCGTCAGCGATGCCAGCAGCACTCCAGCCAAGGCTTGGCGTCGTGGCCGTTGCGGCCGGAACTCCTCACTTTGGATGAAGACTCTCGGAAGCCTTGCAAAATGAGCAAAGCCACTCTGGTGCCTTACCAGCAAGAGCTGCGACACAATGAGCAATCTCATGCCACGAGCCTCGAGAAGTGCCGCGAGATCAGCAGCACAAGAAAGATCTGGAAACATCGACGCATGGCCCAAGCAGGTCGCGCAGGCCAGACTTCTGAGGCAGGCTTCAAGGGCTGTCGGCAAGATAGAGCATTTGCACAAGGGGTTGTGTCTATGCACTCCTAGAGGTCTGAGCCCTGTCTTTTCACTCTTCGTCACTTGCGTCATTGCAGCCACTCTTGGAGGACCCCCTTTGCAGACTTGCACACACAGTCAAGCAAAGGAGTGTAGCAACAGAGAAGAACGCGCTTTTTGCACATGGCCGCTTCCAGAGATGCTAGGGACCGAGAGTTGCGTGAAACACAGCGCGACCTAAGCGAGATTGTCAACAGCCAGACAATGGGATAAAGGCAAACCAGCCTTCAGAGCTAATTTCTAGGTGGAGTACGAGTTCAAGCTTCGCACGGTGAGTCCGCCCTTTTTCCAGTCATTGCATCCAAGGCTCTAAATTCAATTTCTAGCTGCGATTCCGTTTGGCGTCGCCTCTGCAGTTTTTCTCACTGCAGCTGCAGAAATGGGCGCATGGAGGGATGTCCAGGACTTGGTAGGAGGGCGAGCACTCGGTGACATTGACACCACCCGAGTCGCTGCGAAGACGTCCACGACTGGGTAGAGGGGCTCCTTTTGGGATTCTACGGCACCGTCGACTCTCACAACTGCCTCACCATCCACGAAGATCAGAAGATCTCCACCACGCGTTACCAAGAAGCCAACACGTGCTCCGGGGTGAAGACTGTCAGCACGCCACGCGGTCCTTTGCTCGCAGCCGTCAAGGAAAACGCAGCCCCAGTAGCCAATGACCATGGTCTTCGGGATGCGCCATGCCTTATCGGGAACCCGCTTCAGGCCCTGTGGAGTCGAGGACGTAACTCCAATGCCCAAACCTCCAACCCAGCCAGGAACAGTGTCTTCCACCGTGACCTCGAAGTAACGGCCGTGCTCTTGGAGAGGCACCGGGCCGGTACCCACAGCCACAGACTGCCTGCAACCACGGAACCGTGTGGCTGTGTAGCCGTCCTCTGAAATCTCCAAGTTGATCCCACTAGCCTTTGGACAGAATGGGAGGAGCACGCTCGGCTCCTTGAGAGGAAAAGGTGAAAGCAAGTTGTTGCTCTGCTCAGGAGACGAGGCCTGCAGAACGGAGGCCACACGGTCAGCATGTTGCAGAGCAGCGTTCATCGCAAGCGAGCCCTGCAGCCTTTCGCGGAGACCGGTGACTTCCTCACTCAGTCGGCAGATGTGACCATCCTGGTCCTTGATCTTCTCCCACACGTCGGGCTCCGGCTCTGGGTCAGAGTGGTCGTGCTGCAATCCCCTTTGAGCATTTGATGCTTGCTGCTGAATCGCAGCCCTGGTCTGCTGCATCTGCGACATTAAGTCCACACGAGTTTCTAAGGACTCCAGTAAGGCCAGGAACTGCATTTCGGTGTTGCCCTCAGTGTCCTCCCATGGAGTTCGCCAAGACCCATTCACGTTGGCAGCCTCATCGCCCAGCTGGAAGTGCTCTTGCTGGGGATCATTCGGATCACCCTCGAAATACTCGTCTTCCTGACTGGCGTCTGGCCACGCGTGGGGAACAAGCCGCACTTGCCCGTATCCTTCCCCTCCGAAGGGCTCTGCATAGATACGGTCTGCCGACAATGGAGCATACAGCGCATCTGCAGGTCCATACATATCACTGTGACACGGACCGCCTGTCATTGGCGCATAGACAGGAATGTGTGGCGTCGGAACGGGCACGGGAGGCCCTTGCGGCACAGGCTGTGTCACGGCCTGGCGTGTTACGACACCTGTAGTAACACCATGAACGATGTGCACTGGCCCTGGATGAGGAGCCGGATGCGCTGCGGGGCCAAGTGCAGGAACAGCCCATAAAGCACTCATGGCTTTGAAGCCGGGGGCTATTGAATTGCAAGCAACTTCGGGGTATCTACCATCTGCCGCATGCACAAATGCATGTTACATCTACCGGACATATGGCTTCTCGCACATGCAGCATCTATGTAGTCCAAGTTTGAGCCCTGGTTCATAGCTGCGGCCAGAAAGCATGCCACCCATCTGGATGCTGTCAACTTGCCCACACGTACAGACGAGGCTGGGACGAGGGACTAGCATGCGCACTCGCTATCTCGTCTGCGTCCTGCTAGGACCCGGGTGTTTACGGCGTGACGACCCCTGGCAAAATGGTTGTGCAAGACGCATGCGGCGCGGCGCCTTCTTCCTCAAGGTTGATTGCCTCCGATTGTGCATCTTTGCAGATGGATCTTTCGCATGGGGAACATTGTCAACTAACTTGACAAGTCAGTCGAAGACATGCAGTCACAGACATGCAGCACCATGATGGCATGCTATGCTGTGCTGCACCTCCGGATAGCCAGACATGTCAAGTCGGGCTGGATTTCGGCCCAACTCCTTCTGTGTCTGTATGATGCCTGACACAACTGTCTTGCGCGTCACCAAGCAGCCCTGCAGAATCCCGAGCCGGCCTCGCACCAGCCTGAGGAAGATCTGCTCCACGCCGACGGCTAAGTCCTTACACATATGCTCACGCACGGCAGACCTGCATCGTCAAACTGTCAACTCGAGCCTTCTCTGCACCCTCATATTTGTTCCAGTAGGCAGAGGTCTCCTAGCGACGCCAAGCGACGAGACAAGGCAAAAGCTCTGAAAGAGGGAACGAGAGACAACTGCAGCAAGCTTGCGACAAGATGCACCAAAAGCACCCTGTCCACGTAAAGAAGTCCATTGCCTCTTGCATATCCTGCTTCGAAACTGTCACCCGACAAGGGGCAGCTAAGCCCCTGCCGACACTTCGCGACATGCTCAGATGCGAGTCGAGGCCGGAATCTCCAGTCCTTGTGCTCTCTCTGTCGACACTGCTCTTTGAGCCGAAAGGTCGGCCTTGGTGCCGACCTGAGCCGAGAGCCAGGGAGGGACCGGGAGGGACCGGGAGGGACTGTGGACCCCCCTGTTTGGAGAAGAGGGCAGCGAGGGGCCGAGGAGCCGGCCAACGCAACTACCACCTTTGCACAGACTGTTTTGTTTCTTTGTCAAGCCGACGTGAACTTTTGATGATATCGCAGTCAAGCTGCACTGGGATCGGTATTCTCACGCAGCTCTGCCAACCACTTGTCCAAGTTTTGGAAAGAACGTCTGGGCAAGGCAGAGTCGAAGTTTGCCAATGCTCTTGGACGTGTGGTGGGGCACTCATTCGCGATGTCGAACACGAGCAGCGCCCCGTCGGCCGCCCGATAATGACTCGGCAAGACAAGGGTCACTCTGATGATTCGCGCTTCACTGCCTGCACCAACAGCTTGATTCAGGAGAACGTGTACGTGTCGTTTCAGAACTGTGTTGGCTTTGGTCATGTGGCCTACTGTAAACAGGGGCAGCCACCATGCCCCGGAGACTACACGTGCAGGTGTGCACAGCACCCTATCAAACCGGATGGAGGTGGTCAGATGCTCGCCAGCCGTCTTGCTGATCTCCCAATCGGGGGCACTAACCACATGGCAGACACACCCCACGAATGCTGGGCCACAGCCAGACTTCGACATCCCGTAATGGATTCCGATCACACTCAGCTGGACACTGCGTAGTGACCGATTGGAACTTCTCTTGTCCGGCCGTATCCTAGCAAGAAAAGCTCTTTCAGGATTTCTGCATGTCCGAGCTGTGCGCCGAACCCATATTTGGAGCGGATATTGCTGGTTCATCAGCGGGTCCATCAGGGTCCTGGGTTTCTCACTTGCCGATCGTCGCCCTAGCATGTTTCCGGGCATGTTTTGCTCCAGAGTTCTTGGGGTCCACGCTGCTTGAAGAACGAGATGCCCACGGTAGCTTTGGGATCTGCCAGAAGCCTGCACTCATCAGTCACTGTATTGTCGTCATGGCTTTGAGCTTCGACTTCAAAATCTTAGGACTCATGTTTCACGGCAGTTGTGACCTCGCTCTTAGGCACTTTCGCTTCATGGCAGTTGTGACCTCGCGATTCCACACTTATCTGACCAAGACTTGCTGCACAGCAACGTGTTGTTGATGAACCGGTAGACCAGAGCAGACTTTCCAACCTGGCGCAATGCTATCGCGAAGGCTGTTGAAATTCCTTTGCCTCTCCAAAGTAAGTGGGCCAGTAGTGCCGAACTGTCCCCTATCAGAACCACCTTCATCCTGGCGGCAGGAGTCAGGAGAACATTGAACTGTCGTGGCACTCCGTGGTTTGCTGAAGAGGAGCATGTTGGGTGCTCGGATTGTCAAGCGAGGAGGGGTTGCTTTGAGGCCTGTGCAGCCACGCAACACACTCAGGTCAGTGGATCATGCAGGCAATTTCGAATTCCGGTGTAGCATATGGAACATGGTATCATGACAGATGCTGCTTGGCACTTGCACATGACATGACACACGCTGCAATAAACTTAACATGCCAGCCTTCGGGCTGACGAAGTTATCACTAGAGAGTGGCATGCTTGCTGTTTGTCGAAAATGACTGCTGAGTCGCCAGGGAGCGGATAGAGCCCGAACATGCCACGTTCATGCATCCAAAAAGAATTAGTTGATTGTCCGGGCATACTCATCACGCTGCGATCAGCTCTGAGCAAACACTCTTCTCCGGCAACCACGCACGTTCACATTCTGTACATGAGCACTCAAGTGTGAGAGACACCTTCTCACACCCGAGCCTGAAGGATCACCTCGAGCCTGATCCCTTTGCTCAGCTGCTGTCCATCGTGCCATCTTCATCAAAGGTCTCTCAACGTCGGGACAGCAGCAGAGGCTCTGACTGGGCTCCCTACCGAAATATACATGCGTCTACAGGACACAAGGTACTTTGTACAAGCCGCACTGCCGATGCACTTCATGCCTTCTCGACCTCCCGGGACCTTGCAAGTCGCTGCTTCAAGATGGCCCCTGATCTGAACGCAAAGTCAAAGATTTAACTAGTCAAAGTCAAAGTCTTCAGGCGGCGGCCCGGCACAGAAAGCATCGTCCACGAGTTCCACGATTTTTCCCAAACCTGACTCTCCCAGTCCCAGGATGAACCGCTTCACCACTTGGCCACGACGTTTTCAGATTGCCGGTGGTACATGGCCAGTTCACCAAATCCCGCAATACACGGCTGTCATGGTCTTTGCTGTCTCTATACATTTGACGTGTCAGGAGGGAATCCATCTCAACTTGTTCACGTAAGTTAAATCATATAGCTGTGCTTCAAACAACTGTCAAGCGAATGGAAAACCGAATCGCGCACTGGCAACCGGATTCGTGCACCACACATTCGCGCACCGAAAGGCTTCGAGCACCATGGATTCGTGCACCAGCCGCACAGATTCGCGCACCAACCACACGTCTGCCAAACCTTAAACCCTAAACCCTTCAAAACCGTAAACCCCAACCCCATAAAGCCCTGCTGCTAAACTCGAAACTCCACAGACCCGGTTCTCGGCGGCTGCCACCTTTTAACGGAATCCAAGGAACTGAGCAACGTAAACCCTCATGTCAAACGTAGAACCTGCGGGAAAGGCCAACCGTCTTGACAAATCGAACAAAGCCCAGCAGATCGCTTCGGCGCACGCAGGTCGAGCGGGATGTGTCTTTTGTTGTTTATTCTGGCCAGCTCAAAGCCTTGCGTGCCATTTGAGGAGTGCAACCATCTGGCTGTGATTGCTTTCACTTCCTATCTAACAGTGCAGCCGATCGCGAGTATCGCAGCTCCGAGCTTGTCTGCGTTCTCTGATTGCAACCGAGCCTGGGACACGCAAACGGGCGGAATTCTTTCATACAGAACCCCGAACCCCCAAACCCTGAAAATCCGGAAGCGTAAACCCTAAAGCATAGGGTTTAGGCGACTCGGCTCAAGATTTTGCTCGTAGCATCATCTCGCGACAGGCAGGATGCCCAATAAACTCTCCTGCCAGCCGCCCGTCGTGACGAGCTCATGTCAAGCAGGCCTCCACACGGCACAGCATGGAAGAGGATTCCGCAGGCCTTGCGCTGCGGAGCTCATCACCAAGGGACGGCAACGGCCAACCCCGGGAGGTGTGGACTCCTAAGCCGCCGTGGAGGGGAAGACAAAGTGCGTCGTCGGTCCTCGAGCAAATCGGAGACAAATTGCACCACCAGAATGCCATCGGACCAATCATACTAATCAGTAGAGCTCGGTCGTTGTTGCGTGTGCTCGGCAGCGTGGATGCGAGCACATATGCATAGCCATGAAGCTGCAAGTGATGGCCTTCTTCTGCTTTACACTGCCCCACATGCAGATACGCCCTTATCGTACCGTAGCACCTTGACCGACCTCTTTGACTTCCCCCAATGACTCGGCCATCTACGAGCAGCATCGAACTGTCCTCGTGGCAGCTTAGCTGATGGACCTACAAGGTGGGGCGGGACCAAAGGAGGGGGGCTCTGAATCAATCGTTGCGTGGTGGCCCCCCTCGAGGGCCCCCGCCCCCTAACTCCTGTCCTGATAAAGGACCATAGGTTTTGGACACGATTTTGACCGGATTCTCTATTACCCAAGCGACAACTCCCCAAGCTCCACAGAGCTAGCTTTCGTGTGACCTTGACAGAGTACTCGGTTGCTTCGGCATGCTATCACCAAACGGTTCTGCTGGACACTGGATCCCACTATGCTGTCATGAGCCTGCCTTTGGTGCGACCCTCGCGGAAAAGAAGAGTCTCACCCAGACCTTACAGATCTTACAGTCTGGCTCGTGACTAGTGGCCGATCCGTGGAGGCAGTGGCAGCGCCGGCTAAGCGGCGCACAGACATATTCCGCATGATAGCACCAGCGAAACGTCACGATGGCCTGCTGAAGCCCATGTAGGAGCCGGATCAACTCTAGACCTGGCTTGCCTTGTCCCCAGAGCGCAACAGTTCGCAGGACATGTTCTTGACAGCCGCACATTGGCCTTTGCAAAACGCCGCGATGCAGCCTGCGAGTCCCCGGACCGATAAATTACGGCAGGACGTGATAAGGCCGCCACGAATGATGCCACAATGGATCATGGCCTGGCAAGGAACACAAGTTGCCGAAAGGGCTTCTCAGAAAGGGATCTACCTGCCTGGTATCCTTCCCTGATGGTGGTGGCGTGGTGTAAAATCACGACCTGTCTGTTCTTAGGAAGTACAGCAGAAAATGCTTCAACATGAGCAACCTGTTGCAGCACACTCCGATGGCGAATGATCTTTTGAAACGTCTCCGCAGAAGCAGCTGATGTGATTTCTCGTTTGTGTTTGATGCTTTTTGTCTCACTTCTTGCCCTTGAAGTTCTTGGAGCCTCGGTGCAAACGCCAATCTGGGGAGAGACTTCTACTGTAGCTGAGCACCGCACCGCCGGCAGGCGCTCCTCCGCCCTTGGGCAGCTTCGCGCCCTGCGACGAGGGGCGGGCTGGGGCGACGGGCCGCTGGCGGCGTTTTCTGCGACGGGAGGCACCTTGTCGGCCTTCCCCTTGGGCACAGCGGGCTTGCCTCGGACTCGCCAACACGAGAGGAAGAGCTCGGAGCGGTCTCGGCGGCTGAGCTCTCAGCTGGAGGCGGCCTTCTTCTTGTCCGCCTGCTGCTTGGCTTTGGCCTCCTTCGCACTCCCAGGAAACTCTGACTGAGCCTTGCCGGCCCTACTCCCACTATCCCTGCGCCGCCTTCGCAGCCTGCTCCCTTGCCTGGCGCAGCTCGGGCCTCATCGCCTTCCTTGCCATGCAAACTCGAGCAAGACCAATCGCTCCACAATGAGGGTAAGCACTGCTGCTGGACCGTCAGACTGTGGCGGGAGGGAAGGCTGCAGGAGTGACCGGACGTGCAGCTATGGCACTTCTTCTTGAGGTCATCCAGAGACATACCGACGATAGCTTTCTGGAACTTCTGGGCCTTCGGAGGCAACATGCAGGTGCAGCACATCGACGAGTTTTGCCCGCAGCCTTCCGGGCTTTCTTCTTGCCGCCCTCCTCGACCTTGCCCTTCTTGTTCTGCCGACGCCAGGCTTGAGTCCAGCGGAGCTTCACCTCGGGGGCCCACGGTGTGCACAAGGCGTAGCTGCAAACTCACGTTCATCCACCTTCATCAAAACAGGTGCCAGAAGCTGCGGGTGCTGCCAGATCTTGTCTGAAAGCATCCCGGATTCGGCAGGGCGGCTGGCTTGATGCGCTGGTGGTACAGCGAGTCTGCTTTGGCAGAAATGAAAAAGTTGACCTTCAAAGCTCGGTGTGGGCAGGGAGGCAGCTTATACAGACACGCAAGCACATCATGACATCATTATGCGACACGTATGCGATTGTGTTTGCACCTCACAGCATGCCAACCCTCTCAAGTCACATCATTAGAGAACATGCATGACCAGATAAGATGGTGAAATGGGTAGAAGCTAATACAACCAGGTAAGATAGTGAAATGGGTAGAAGCTAGGGCAACTAGAGTCAGAACCAGACTGCGGGCGCTAGTTTCAAGTGTCGCCTTGGCATCCTTCGCCACAAACTTCTGACCATGTCCGGGATAGATCCTGTACCTTAGTTGTTGCAAGTTGCAGACAAGAAAGAGAAGAGCGCTGCGCATTGAGGTGCATGCAGACACCCAAAGCAAGCCTTTGGCCTGGGTGCTCTGTGTAGTTGCACAGATCTGTCTTGATGACCATGGCTCTGCTGCCCTCGGACACCTATTCCACAAACTTGCCACAAACAGCTGCAGCTACAGACAGCCACGCCGGGCGATGCTTTGTGTATTCTGCGTGCGACACTTCGTCCAATCGACATAAAGCATTCAACTTTTGTTCCGCAATTGCAGCTGTGGTAGCGCACCATGTGCTTTCATTGACGCTCACTTTTTGCCCTTGAAGTTCTTGGAACCTCAGCACTGCAACACAAAGAGTCGGCATGCCTGGAATATTCACAAAGGTCCGGTCTATCTACGATCTTATAAACAGCATCAGCTTTCGAAGCCAAGACTCCGCCAGCTGGTGCACCTCCACCCTTCGGCAACTTCGCACCCTGTCAGAAGGGATGTGCGTCGAAGCGCGATCTGCTTCCACGAGTCTCAAATGAACTTGTGAAGAGCTCTTGCAAGAAAGCACAAACGTCGGTCGTTTGCAAGAAGAACAGGAATCGCCACGGCGCAAGCTGAGACAGCTGCAAAATTTCGTCGACAAAGCCGATCACACTTGCAAACATGCGGTGCTTATCAGCCTCGATGCCAACTGTGTGTCGGTCGAGCCCTGATACTGCGCCGTTCGCTTGCTGTGCTGTCGCAACAAACTTTACATCCAGATCCAAGTGGACATCCGCTCATACCTTCTTTATGCCATCCATGGCTAACAGCTAACATAATCCGTCCCGATTCTGGGCCCACATCACCACAACTTGGAAGCAAAACCTTCTTCGCGAGACAGGGCGGCAGCGCTGCATGCGTGCGGATGTAAAGAGAAGGTGTTGCATGGCGCAACCAATTTCTCTGTTCTGCCCCGAGATCTGTCGAAAGCCGCTAGCGGTACGAGTGCATACATGAGGCACGAGCATCGAACTCTCTGCGCAAGATGCATGGAGAGGGCTGCGCAAAGGTGCTCCGGTACAGGACGGGCCTTGTCGGCTTTCCCCTTGGGAACTGCCGGCTTGCCTTTCAGCGACATCACAATCGATTCCCGGCAAAGGATGCTGAGCGTAGCCGAAAAGATTGACATCGGGAGCTGCAGTCGATGATTTCAGCTGGGCGTGGGATCTGAGCTCCTGACTGGAAGCTGCCTTCTTCTTGTCTGCCTGCTGCTTGGCCTTGGCCTCCTCAGCATGTGGCACTAGCTCGGATCCAAGTGCTGGACTCACGTACACTGCTGAAAAGCTCCAAGAGGATGTCTGGAAGTTTCACTCGTCCCCATGTGAGTCGCAGCAGGTCTCCTTTGCGGCCTGCTCCCGTGCCTGGCGAAGCTCGGGCCTCATGGCTTTCCTGAGAGAAACAGTTAGCAGGCACTCAATTCTCTCAACACAAGGCAACTGCGACGAGACACTTCTTCTTGAGATCATCCAAGGACATGCCCACAATTGCTTTCTGAAACTTCTGCGCCTCAAGATCACACTGGTTGAAGCGATTCAAGTGCTCGTGCCAAGCAAAGATCGTCAAGCGCTTCCTTCCGGGCTTTCTTCTTGCCGCCCTCCTCGACCTTCCCCTTCTTGTTCTGCCGACGCCAGGCTTGAGTCCAGCGGAGCTTCACCTCGGGGGCAAAGACATCCCACAAGCACACGTCTTGCAATGTCTTGCAGTCTTGCCCCCTTTCGCCGCAATCTCGCCGTGGCACCGGCTTGATGCGCTGGTGGTACAAGGAGTCTGCCTTGGCTGAGATGAAGAAATTCACCTGCAGAGCAGTTGGCTTGGGATGCATTTGTCCGGCCTTCGATTCAGATGGCTTGCCTTTGCATCCTTTGCCACGAACTTTTGACCATGGCCGGGGTAGATCCTGTACCTGCAGTGACACGCAAAGACGGAAAGCTTCATGGGATCCGACCATCCAAGCCATCCAAGACAAGGCACTCCGTGTAGTTGCAGAGGTCTGTCTTGATGACCATGGCGAGAGCGGAGAGGAGCAGAGGAGCGGAGGAGCTGGCGGGGACGCTCCACAGCTGAGCGATGTGATGGCAGCGGCGACGATTTGCACTGCACGCTGTGCGCAGGGATTTTGAGCAGCACTGCAAGCACACAGGCCTCAGCCTTGAAAGACCAAATGGCCCTCGGTTGAAGCTCCGGGCCGAGCATCACCTCATGCGAGCTGCTGTCTGCTGTGCGCAAGCGGGTGAAGGCGCCGAGGCTCCGGCCATGCCTTTTCTGAACATGCTCTTCTTCAGCGTCTCCTGCGGTCCGGGAACATTCTGCTCGCCTGCTTCGCCTTCCTCTTAAAGACAGGTTTGGTTGGAACCGGCACCCCTCGTGCCCGCAAACGCAGATGCACCACTTCCCGAATTTGGGCACCCTCTTCACCAGAGAACGAAGAGCGAAGCTGCAGTGCCTGAAGCATGCTGTGAGTTTTAAAGCTCCAAGCTTTGTGCAGTGTTTGGAAATGACAGCGAGCCCCCTGCTTGAATTCAAGATCCATGCCGAGTGCCGGACTGACCACTCTCTGCCATTTCAACAGTGACACGCTTGTACTGAATGGTTTTAACCTGGCACATCAACACATATGTGAGAAATGTCACATTGCACTAGCTTCCACTAGATTTCTCACTGACACAGCCGGCCATGCTCACTCGGCCATGAGAATGAGAAAGAACAAGTCTCTGCAGAATACGATCTTGTAAACAGTGCGCAGCCACCATTACCGGCTTGAACCTGGCCAGTTGACTCAAGAACAAGAAGAACGCGAGCCCAGATGCGCCGGCAACATTCGAAGAACTCTCCCTGCAACGAGCACCCGGCTGGCTCACTTTGTCTGGACCCAGAAGCAGATGCTGTCCAGGGCATATACGACCTGATCCTGTGCGGCGCACACACACACACACAAACACACACGTAGCACACATTTGAGGAGTTGCCTAAGCCTAAGCCAGGGATGCGGCGAACTACACCACCAACGACCAGACCAACGCCAGGCACTACATAGATGGAGTCGATGTGAAACTCAGCTGGACCTTTGACAAGAAGGCTTCAGCTGAGAGGAGCCACACAAACGTTCATATTGAACACAAGAAATCTGGGCGGATGACTGCTTGGTGGTTTGAAGAGACCGCTGTCCTACAGCAACATGCTTTGTCACGCCGGGGCATCAACGCTAGAAGCAAGGGAGTGATATTCGACCACTCACTATGCCGAATCTAGAATCTACAAGCACTCCTGCAGCCTTGACGGCAGCCGCTGCAGGAAAGACCGCAGCAGGGGAAGACCTCATCTCTTGCCCCCGATATCCCCCGAAAAGGGCAAGGATAGCAAAGATAGCATCTGCCTAGACCTGCACTCCAGAACAAGGTGCATGTCACGACCTACGCCATGTCGACTACGATGATTGCAAAGCAGCGACAACTGTGAGTTTCAGGCCCTCTCCCGTGACGTTGGAAATGCAGAACATTGGACACACCTGCACAGACTGCATTTTTTTGCAGATGCCCGAACCGTCTCTCGGGCCACATCGAAGCAGCCGCCTGCTTGCCGTAGATGCCGGAGGCTGCTTGCTCCAAGTGGTCATCGCTTGTCACCACAAGAGGCTGCCGCTTCACTGCATTTGACCTGCGAAGGTGGGGACATCATGGACGCTCTCTCAAAGATGACGATGCAGCAGCGACAGGAAAAAACGCGCAAAGGTCCCAGCTTGACGATTTTGTGGAGCTGGGCCAGGTTCTCGTCGAACACATTCCTTCGAAGAACATAGGCATTGGGTCAGTAGGTTCATGCCGATTGGACTTACCAGCTGGTTCAAAAGCACAATCTGCAGGCAAAGAACTGGGGTGCGATGTCAATCTTCGTTATGACGATGAAGAACGGAATGCGCAAGGCAAGAGCAATTCCCAAGTGCTCTCGCGACATGCGCTGGAAGCCGGCATTGGCATTCACTATGATCATGGTGTAATCCGGGCCTGCAGTGCCAAATATGCAGCGCAGATCAAGCTGAAATGATGGTACCAAGGGCAGGGACACTGCCCCACCAATCCAAAGATGGTAGTCTTGAGGTACTTTTCATGGCCACAGAGGTCGCTGAAGGTCACCAGTCTTTCCGATTGGCTTACCACCTGGAGCACGTCGCAGGCTGATAGACTCAGGCTGGACCCTGTGATCAACATTCGTCTCTGCAACAAGCACTGCGACGGGAACAGTGCAGGATTCGGACAGCATCACATGTTCCGCAGAGCTGTGCATGTGTCGGCCACCTGTTGCCAAGTCTGATTTCGAGAACTGGCCGTGGAAGTACCCATTCTGTCAATGAGCACCTGGAGCTTGGCTCTCACGATTCTTCTGGTCGCTTCACATCCCGCCTGCTCGCCCGTTGGCGAGAAGCCCATAATCTCCTCCAAAGAGGACAAGCCACTACATGAATGCGACTGTGACTCTAAGAGCACGGAGGAGACGGCTTTCTGGAATCGTCCTGTGCGATACTACTGGTTCTGCCGTTGGCCGCTTCGTGCGAGAAATTAAACACCTGGAGCGCTCACAAGTTGGATGCACGGGCATTGCTTCATGTAAACAGGTTCGACCATATGCCATCGCGTGCCTTGGCCCGTGCCAGGCCCCTTCCATCATCCAATCCACCTTTGGTGAGAACTCCAACCAATGTCGACTTCCCGCTATCCACATTGCCGATGACCTGAGATACCATGCTTCGCATCGTGAGTCTAAGTGCTGCGTGGTACAGCTGCTTCGCTGGCTGCTTCCAAGCCACTGCCACTGTAACATCCTTCATTTGAGCTTCGACCCAGTCATCGCTGAGATCATCTAAGCTGATGCCCTTATGCTCATGTCCATCAACATCTTCTTCATCATCGTCTGAAGTGGATCTGTCCATGTCCTTAGCATGTGGCACCAGCACAGAACATGATTCAGTTGGGTCCTCGTGGTAACAATGCACCTTCGGTTTCAGCGTCTCCTCTTTGGACGCTTCCGCGACGCATGGCTTCTCCAGCTTATCCTCCGGAGCAAACGAACAACTGAGCCGAACATGCCACATTCGCTGCCGCCTCAGTTTGGACCGTCATGGTCGAGAAACTAGCGCGGGATGGCGGCGTGAATTGCAATGCAGAAAAACCACAGAAGCATGATTCCCGTAGCCGGTGTTGTGAGAGGAAACTCCCCGAGTACATAGCTGAAACCTGAAGCTGAGGAGCCTCTCGTTCCCAAACTGATTAAGTTTCTCGTTTCTGCTGGTTCCGACAGTGTTGTTTCTATAACATGACGTAGACGTAAACAGCTGCAGTTGCCCATGAGTACTCGCAATCGAGTGACCCGTTTTGTGAGTGTGCAAAGGCTGGCCAAAGTGAGCGAGGAATTCCACCAAGATTGTGCAGGCACTGACAAGATCGATCCTCAGGTTGTCATGACCTTCAGGAAGCTGAAACACTTTCGTAGACGCCCGATGCACACTTGTTGCGACGATGTGGGACCGACCTTCGGCTAAGTGGCACATTCCACCCGGAAACATACAGCACTCGTCCGAATACTCACCTGTTACCATGCCTGTAGATCAACCAATAATTTTTCGCTGTTTAGAGCGATTTGCCGATTTTGTGTTACGCGTATCGCCTCTTGCAAAACAAAAATGCAGCCTCCAAGACTCTAAGACATTAAGACCGTAAGATCGTGGTCGTCGACAGCGAAAATGCCACATCACACTCCAATCCGGAATACATGCCGATAACCTGAAATCCCAACCTCCACAAAATTGGCTTGACTGTCTTGCAAGTGCATGTCGCTCAAGCATTGCTATTCAATATCTACGTACGGTGTTTCCATTTTGATGGCGCGTGAAGCATCGTCATTGCTCTCGTTGCACCAGCACCTTTCAGTTTGTCACCTGGAGCTGCTCAAACTGTTTCACAATTGATGTCAAGTATCCACGTAAACTTGGCGAACACATGAAACCTGATGGTGTATGGGCGCGGCTGCTGACTTTCAAAGCCAGGATATGTCTCTTGTCTCGAAGATCCATGGCAAACCATGGGTGAGCAAGAGAAACTAATAACTAGCGATCTTCCAGGTTTGGTTTGATTAGACTAAAGCTCGAGAGAGGGGATTCGACAGGAAGCCGTAAGCTGGTTGCGAAACCAAGAAAATCAGGATGCGTCAGCTCGCCTGCCCAAGTGTTGTAATCTCGCTTGACATGCGAGGTCCGATGTGTGAGCAGTACAAAGGTCCAGAAGAGTGCGTGGACTTGGGCTTTGGGTATGACGGCCTTGCTTACTCAACGTCGAAGAGTGGCGTGGCTTCGTGTTAAGCTCGTGGGGAGCTATGTCGACAAAGTCAGCATCTCCTGTGAAGCAAACTGTCTCGGCTTCGTTACGTTCATTGTGAGCCCGGGATGAAGAGCGAAGGCTTCACTTTTGCACACATTGCGCAACCATCTTCGAGACAGTTGCTTATTTGGTGCAGCCACATTGCGCAGCCTTCTTTTCGAATCGGTGCTGCTGACTGCCGCCATCGGTGCCGACCTGATGGTTCTGAACGGAGAAAACCACATGCCTCCTCCACTGCGATGGATTGTGTACAGGGTCGTCTATGGATATATCAAAACGGCACAATGATGCCCCACCTACGGGGTCAATATATATTCGAATTGTAAAATCATATGCTTTCGCAATCCACACGCTCTCAACTCAGAATATCGAAGCAATAAGACATTCAACGACATAAAGTAATGGAAATGCAATCACTCTCGCGACTCGGACCACACATTCCTTTTTCTTCAAATGCTGGCTAAGCCAGAGGCTGGGGTGCATTCTCTATGGTGTCCTCTACGCCACAACGACCAATGGTCAGCAGGAACACCTGCAGCGGCACAAACAATCACAGGCCGGCAAGCAGATTCAATGAATGGGGAAAACATGAACGGATAAAAATCTGGTCGATTGGAATTCATGCAAGCTGACAAACGTTGCAAAGTGACACAACTTGCTGATTTCCGAAAACATGCAAAACAATTGAAACGGACCGTTGTTCCCAAACTCAGTGCATCATTCAAGAATGTGCATATCTTACATCCTAATGCGAACCCCTAGGAAGAGCTTTTGTGATGCCACTGTGATGCCACACGAAATCACCGAACGGGGTTAAAAAAGGGAACGAAATGAAGTAGAAACATGAAAACTCAGAGAGACACGAAGGCAAATTTCGTTCAGCGCAGTCCACTCGCATGGCATCCAGTGGAAGCTGCTGAGCGCCGTTGGTTGGAGACCAGTAAGAAAAAAAACATCCCATATGCCGATTTCTTCGACCTGTAGGGCTTAGACTGAAAGTTGATGCGCCACTGGGAGGTCAGTTTGGAAAACAAACCGGAGACTGTTTGAGCTAGCCAAAACTTCCACCAAGTTCTGAGAAATGTGCCTCCACACACCTCGCGCTTGCTGTTCATTGGGTCCAGCAAGCACAATTCCACACAACTCCACTCTTGGGCCGCGTCCGTGAAGACAAGCACCCGATTTTGGTACAGGCTTTCTGGGACCGTGAGGATTTCGAACCAATCCTTGACGTGGATTGCGCGTACCTTGGCAATGTGGCCGATCTTCCCAGCAGATCTCGATCGATCCTTCAAAGCGGCCCGTCGATGCTTCATGAGCACCATGGATATGCCGTGGTATGCTTCGTAAGAGTGGCCCGTCTGGCATCCACAACCTTCTTTTGTCTAAAAGCCTGGACGTTGGAAGGGGAAGAATCGTGTCCTGCTGATTTTTTTTGGCGCTCGTTGACAGCGGCTGCTGCGCTCGGTCCCAAGAAGAAACAAGAAGGTAAGAATAAGCGGCAACTAAAATCTGTACAAGGTGAAACACGGCGGCTGCGACATACAGACTTAGCCGGCAAAGTCGTTCAGCATTTAATTAGAGTGCAAAGCGATCCTGCCTCACTCACAGGCCCTGCTCCCCGCAATCTTGGTTGCGCTGCGCATCTATCAGCCCAGTTTTTTCGGTCGAGAGAGCAGACCCTGGAGCCAGAAGTCGCATCATTCAGAGCACCCGGGATCTTCACAATAGCTGTATGGCCAGTCAATCTCCAAAGAGAGAGGAGAGCCAAACCATAAAACAGCTTCTCAGCCATCGAGACGAAGAATACTGCCGCAGCCGCACGGCCGAATGGCCAGGGCACACATTGCAATGGCCTAAGGGAAAATACGTACATTGGGCTCACGGGTCACCACACCGCACAATTTCCGCATTGCGGCCTTTGAGGCGGTGGTTTGCAAGCAAATAGAAGCGCTTTGCCACAGATCACACCACACAGGATTTTATGCACTTCCTTTGCCACCGGCTTGGGGTACTGATTGGCGCTGCCGTCCTTCCGCTTCAGAGACGACAGCACACTGTCGGCGGGTCTGGCCGCCGCGGGCTGTGACAGGCGTACAGGACGGGTAGTTGTCAGACGGGCTGGTCCCCCCCTTCCCCCGGGTTTAGGGGGGGGGGGAACAACAACAACAACAACCCCAGGAACCCAGGTTTGAAACCTGGGTTCAACCTGGGTTTGAACCTGGGTTTTAACCTGGGTTTAACCTGGGTTCGAACCTGGGTTCAACTCCGGGTTAAACCCAGGTTTATACCCAGGTTATAACCCAGGTTTGAACCCAGGTTTAACCCAGGTTTAACCCAGGTTTGAAACCCAGGTTCTAACCCAGGTTTGGAACCCGGGTTTAATGAACCCAGGTTTGACCCAGGTTAAAACCCAGGTTCAAACCCAGGATAAAGCCAGGTTCCAAACCTAGGTTTGAAACCCAGGTTGGAACCCAGGTTGAACCTGACGTTCAACCCAGGTTCAAACCTGGGTTCGAACCTGGGTTCCGAACCCAGGTTCGAACCTGGGTATGAACAACCTCGTCTCCAAAATGGTTGTTCAAACCTGGGTTTCGAAACCCAGGTTCCGGAACCCAGGTTCAAGCCAGGTTTCCAAACCTGCCCTTGAAGAAAGAAACAGTTTGGAACCCAGGTTCAACCTGGGTTCCAACCCCCGCCTCTGGGACCAGCCCGTCAGACGCGCAGTTAGCGCCGGAGCGGGCGTCAAGGAAGACCCCACAAATGCGGATGAGCTCTTGCAGCACGGGTTGCACCCAAGTCTTCATCGAGCATAAGTTTTTGCAGTGTTCTGGAACCCTGGGTTCGAACACTTGGGAGGACCCGGGGGAGGGGAGGGGCGGAGAACATCACACTAGAACGAAGGGTTGAACCCCAAGTTCGAACACCTGGAACCGGAGTTGAACTCCGGGTTCGAACACAGTGTTCAAACTCCGGGCTCGAACACTGGTGTTAGAACCCCAGGTTCGAACACCAGTGTTCGAACCTCGAGTTCCAACACTGGTGTTCGATTTCCGGGTTCGAAACACAAAAGAAGAGAAGCCAAACGAAATCGCTTTATGCGGGCTTTTTGCGAAGAAAAGAAAAAGAAAGAAGGAACTAGTTCGAACACCAGTGTTCGAACCTCGAGTTCAAACACTGGTGTTCGAATCCAGAGTTCAAACACTGGTGTTCCCCAGGTTTTTTTGGCGTGTGCGGGCCTCGTCGACTACAGCTGTAGCTCTCGGTCCCTACAAACTAACAAACCAACAAACAAACGAAAACAGCGGTGAGACATCCTAATTAAGAGGACAAAACTAGCTGCGGCGCACAGGCTTTACCTGCGTGAGCCGTTCAGCAACAACTACGGGTCCTCAGCGATCGTTCCACGACAACAGTGAGCCGTCGCCCAAAGCTGTCCAGGACCATCGGTGGAGCCCAAATCCAAGGCTCCGGCCGCCGTTCTAGTTCCGTCGAACAACGGTCAAACGCATGACTCGACAGGATTACATCAAACTCATCGGGACAGACCCTCTCAAGGGTAGAAATCCTGATGACGATGGCCCTCAGGACTGCTCGTACCTAACGCCAGATTCTTGGCTCCAGTTGACAGAATTGAATCCTTCTCCGATTCTGTGTGAATGGAATGGGCATGTCGAGGGCGAGGAGCCTCGAACCGAGGACTTCGAGACGTATGCAGAGATCTTCGCAAACGAAGCTCCAACTGA